AGAAGACTGTCGTTTTTGACAGTTCGAAAAAAGTATTGAATTTGACTAGTTGTGGCAAGTACACAAATCGATCCAGTAATTCTGGAGACACACAACGCTTTCATGTTGTGTCATCTTTATTGAGTTCAGTAAACTTGTTACCTTTCGACATCAAGGGAAACCTGCAAATATGTTTAGCTTAGGTAATGTTATGCAAGCGTAAATAGAAAACTACTAAGTGGGTAAGCAGAAACAGCTTTGTTTACGTGATTATGACGACACAATACCGATTCAAGGATTAGGCACATGTGCCTACTTACATTCATAAATACTCGTAAATATAGGTTCATCTAATATCTTAATATACTATATTATATAAATGACTGCCTCGATGGCCGAGTGCTCGCAAGTGCCATGGTTTTTTTCACATTTCCAGACTCCGTGCTACTACTGTGATTTTTTTTTAAAAAACCCAGTGATACTTTTCACGACCTGACCTTATAATATCTTCTGATTCACTTCGTTGCGGGAACCAAGACTATGACTAAGTTATTCATGTCCCTGGGACGTTGGACTTCAGTGTTCCGGTGTTTTCATAGTTGCATCTACTGTAGATCCTGGCTTACAGGAGTTGCAGCGGTTTTGGGAGGTTGTGGCAGGCTTGTCCCTTAAAAATACCCGGGAATCGAAATCGAGACCCCTTGCCCGGAGCAGCACTTACGACCACTCGGCCAACGAGGTAGTCAGTAACGAATAATAATAATACATGTTGGTATATTTCGTACTATATGCTTCATATTAGCAATATCCGTAATTACTTCATACCGCACTCTTGCGCAGTTGAGTAAGGTGACCTTGCCAGGCATACAATGGAATAAAGAAGAACATATTTTTGATTTGTACTTTTTTAATTTGAACTGAAGCTGTATTGTAACACACAGGTAATATGCACAGAAATATTAATATATTTATGGCACTATGACACCACCGCTGCTCTTCTCGTGGGTATCTTATACCGACTAAGAGACTAGGTATCTACATTTTTAAATGAGACTAGGGTGGGTCTTTGATAAACCTGGAGTATTTAAACTGGTATCTCTAACGTGCCTGCCAAACGTGGAGATTATAAACCTTAGCCTTGCTGACAGCTGACAGCGGCTGGAGTAGGAACGGGGTGGCTTTTAGTCAGTAAGAGTCTGACACTCCCTCCCGCCCCACCAAGGGCAGGAGAAGTCATTCGATGATATTCACCCCCTCAAAAAAAAAACAATGTTTTGCTAGCTACTTGCTGATAATTACAAACATACCATCATCACGCCTTTTATCCCTGAAGGAATAGGCAGAGATGCACATTACGGCACTTAATGCCACTGTACAATGTGACACCCACTTTTCATTATTTATGTTACGAGTCCCATGTAATAGGGACCCTATTACAGTTGTCCTTGAATTCAGCACGTACGTACATTTCTACACATTTAATACACAAAAAAAAAACCACCCATCCATTTCGCGACCTCAACAAGTGTGGCTTAACCTTCCTCTCATTACGACTATCACAAGGATGGTATGTTCTATATATCGAATATCTAAGTTTTGTAATATGAGAAGTGAAAGTCGGCTGCTTACACCATTACGAGAAAAGTCCTTGAAGGTAGGTAGATACAGTTAATATAACTTAACTATTACCTCTTGGCTAATCTGTGGTTTAGAATGGACAAATATAGCTAAAGACTTTAACTATAGATACACAAAAATGTCGAAACATGGGAATAGGGTAGATTTTTTGTGTCCCTTCGTCCAGCATACTCACCATGGAATCCTGATATTTCATGAATGTCAAAAAACTGTTCTGAAATAGTGCTAAATAGTGCCCAAAGGAAAAAAATAGTGCTCTTGTACTTGCGAAGTTATAGCCATAGTTCGATGAGTATGCTGGACGAAGGTTTCGCCCAGCATACTCACCTCCGTCCGGAGAATCTGTATACGCTTCAAACATAATTCATACTTCAAAAAATAGTTCCCAAATAGTGCCAAACGGTGCCCAAAAAGAAAAAACAGTGCTCGAATAACTTCGGAGTTATAGGCTTCGTTCAGTGAGTATGCTGGGCGTAGGTTCTACGCCCAGCATACTCACCTCAGTGCGCGAATATCGAACGAGCTATAGGTACAATTTACGTCTCAAAAAATTGTGCTTGAAATAGTGCCCAATATCAGTCCAATTTTTGCTTGACTTTTGACCTAGAAAACCATTAAATTTGATTGTAAACTTCTACATACATTACATTGAGTACAGTCGAATACAATATTATTAACTTTCTTTCTAACAATTTTTGTCTTGTGTAAATTATTAATTGTCTATGTAAGGGAGTATTTACTTTAGAATCGCAATATTATTAATTACACATTATTTTAATAATACTTTATAATAATATGATTAAGCCTTCGCGCGTCGCATGGGACCCCGGTAGCTAGGAACAATGATTTTATATATTTTGTCTAGATCACGGCGCTTGAAGGATTAAGATATCAAATGAAGTAAATCATGCATGAAAAATAAAGTTGCTGTTATTAATGCTTACATTACAACTGACAAAATTATTCAAAATAATCATTTTCCGGATCAAGGACGGTACCACAACGTTTACGGAATTGACCTGTATTCCTCATGTGATAAAGTTCAATATAGTGTGGCAGTAATGGATGCACGTACGGTCAATAGGTATGGGGCTTACGACGCGCGGCGCCCGCGACGCAAATGAATATGTTTATGTTTAAATACTAGATGGCGCTGCCCTAACATCTTACGATTATTAGACAAGACTGATCTGTATTTTGAAGGTGATAAGGGTCCATTTTGTGTCACAAAGCGACGCGCGGCGCCCGCGACGCTTTTATTTATTGGCTGCAAATGACTGTTTTTATTCAGACAAACACACAATGCAATGAAGTAATAGACTTCATTTACGCTTAAAGTTTCATTCATTTATTATTATTTATAAAATATATAATAATGCATTTAATCGAAAGTTTTTGACATGTGAGAAAATACCATAATTATTTCCAATAACATGAAGTCTACAATTAGAAAGTTTAATATTTTTGTCCAAAAACATGTGTCGACGACTGTACCCCATTTTACGTTAGTATGTAGAAGTTTACATTAAAATTTAATGGTTTTCTAAGTCAAAAGTCAAGCAAAAATTGGACTGATATTGGGCACTATTTCAAGCACAATTTTTTGAGACGTAAATTGTACCTATAGCTCGTTCGATATTCGCGCACTGAGGTGAGTATGCTGGGCGTAGAACCTACGCCCAGCATACTCACTGAACGAAGCCTATAACTCCGAAGTTATTCGAGCACTGTTTTTTCTTTTTTGGCACCGTTTGGCACTATTTGGGAACTATTTTTTGAAGTATGAATTATGTTTGAAGCGTATACAGATTCTCCGGACGGAGGTGAGTATGCTGGGCGAAACCTTCGTCCAGCATACTCATCGAACTATGGCTATAACTTCGCAAGTACAAGAGCACTATTTTTTTCCTTTGGGCACTATTTAGCACTATTTCAGAACAGTTTTTTGACATTCATGAAATATCAGGATTCCATGGTGAGTATGCTGGACGAAGGGACACGATTTTTTTATGGCATAAGCCGGTAAACGAGCAGACGGATCACCTGATGGTAAGCAATCTCCTGGAACACCAGAGGCGTTACAATTGGGGATTAGTAGTTTGAGGATCTTTGGGGATTCAGGGATTGGGGAGATTAGGGAAGGGGAGGGTAATTGGGCATCTGGTAACCTCACTCACACGACGTCGCTTTTCTGCTCAGCCGTGGTATCACTCCGGTTGAGCCGGCCCATTCGTGCCGAAGCATGGCTCTCACTTGAAATGACTAATGACTAATTTTTACCGACTTCATTATCTTTATGTCCGTCTGGTAGATTATTTTAAATCTTTAGACACGTATCTTTTATTTTCTTATGGAAACGAATACTTTCGATGATGTAGTGATTTGAAATGTCGCATGATGTCATTTCTATGTACATTTTATACGTAGAAATGACGTAGCTACCTTCCACTCCTAAACTTTCATTCGTATTATCTAAATATTGTTTTGTTATATGACAAAATAAAAAAATATGTGTCTAATATTTTTTCATTATCTAACTGACGGACTAATTAGATTTTAATTCTCATACCCTGTCATCATCCCTTATACCAATGTGACTTTTTCCAAAAGTGGGTGTTACATTGTACAGTGACATGAAGTGCCGTAATATGCACCTCTGCCTACCCCTTCGGTGATAAAAGGCGTGATGTCATGTTATGTTACTCTCTAAGATACTCCCTCTGTACGGGTCCTGTTGATCATAATTCGTAGCGTGATGTTTTATAGCAGATAAATGGGCTATCCAACTTATGTCCATGCTAGCTTCTGCCAGCGGCTTCGCCCGCGTTCTTGTGAGATAAAAAGTAGCCTATGTGTTATTCCAGACCATAATCTATCCCTGTTCCAAATTTCATCCCGATCCCTTCAGCCGTTTTGACGTAGTAACAAACATACACATTTATAATAATATATAACTAGCTACTTCTGCGCGGATACACTCGCCCTGCTCGGCGCCTATTAACCGTAGCGTGATATTTTATAGTCTATAGCCTTCCTCGATAAATGGGCTATCCAACACAGGAAGAATTTTTCAAATCGGACCGGTAGTTTCGGAGATTAGCGCGGTCAAATAAACAAACAAAAGAAACAAATTCTTCAGCTTTATAATATTAGTATAGACTAGCGGCTTCGCACGCACAATTTAAACCTTCCTTAAGAATCAGTCTATCTATTAAAAAAAACCGCATCAAAATCCGTTGCGTAATTTTAAAGATCTAAGCATGCATAGGGACAGACAGACGGCGGATAGTGACTTTGTTTTATACTATGTAGTGAAGTCAGACAGAAGTAAGCTGTTATTTTAGCGAAGGTAATGAATTAAAATTATTTTTAATTGTTCACAGAACCATGGCATCGGAAACTATATCGAGCGCAGAGCTCGAGTGTCTACCAGACCGTATTGCGGACACCTTCTCTGGTATGAAGGTGCTCATCACTGGAGGAACTGGCTTCATGGGGAAGGTCCTTGTGGAGAAATTGCTCAGGTAACTTTGCCTTACTGTTTCTTTATGGCATAAGATGCCCTCAATCGAGGAGCATGCATGAAGAGTTCGAATGTAAATGAAGTGAAATAGGTTTGTCAGGATTCTGGCATTTGGTATTCCATTGTCTGCCCCAAAGGCATACTAGCAAACGGATCACCTGATGGTAAGCAATCGGCGCCGTCCTTGGACACCTGCAACACTAGAGGAGTTCCGGCCTCACAGAAAACTGACGTGAAGCAACGCTTGCGTTGTGTTTCGTCATGTGAGTGAGGTTACCAGAGGCCCAATTACCCCCCCGCCCCCCCTTCACATGAATTCCCTAATCTCTCCAATCTATGTATCTCCAACAATCATCAAACTCCTAATCCCCAAAAGGCCGGTAACGCACTTGTAACGCCTCCGGCGTTCCAGGTGTCCATGGGCGATACCGATTGCTTACCATCAGGTGATCCGTCTGCTCATTTACCAGCGTATCCCATAAAAAAGACCATATCTCAATGAAGGAGTAGGTACCGTTATTTTGTTATCAAATATCGTTAGTCTGTAGGGTATTTGTCCAATCACTATATCTGCCAAAATTTGAATGTCCAATGGCTTTTCATCAGCTAATTCCCTATTGGTCAAATAGGAGTTCACGCTATAAGTTTTAGCACCATTTCAGTACTTGCCAACTAGTCAAATTCAATATTTTTTTCGAACTGTCAAAAACGACAGTTTTTTACGAATTTTGTACGAGATTGTGTATTGTGACGTCACGTTTTTTTAGCGTCAAACAACATACTTATTTCTTAAAAATTTGCCGAACAAATGCTAAAATTGAGTTGGTCATAAAATCAATTAATTAAAGTGTGATTATTTTTTAATGTTTTATTGTATTGAACAGTCGAAATAATTTATTTTTGATTAAGGAAAGTACCCAATTAAAAACGGTTTATTTGGTAATCACTACATAGTATAAAACAAAGTCGCTATCCGCCGTCTGTCTGTCCCTATGTATGCTTAGATCTTTAAAACTACGCAACGGATTTTGATGCGATTTATTACAATAGATAGAGTGATTCTTAAGAAAGGTTTATATGTATAATACATGCATATTGCGAAGCCGGGGCGGGTCGCTAGTATACCATAAAGATGTGAAGTTTTAACATGAAACTTTGTTAATATTACAGAAAATGTCCTGACATCGATCAAATACTTCTGTTCGTGAGATCCAAAAAGGGCAAAAATCCAAAACAAAGGTTGGAGGAAATCTGCAGTGGCGTTGTAAGTACATATTTAAGTATAAATTTTATACAAAACTAGCTGTTGTTGCCCGCGAATTCGTCCGAATATTAATTAAAATTCGTCCGAATATGAATATGAATTAAAATTTATCATCAACAGCCTATAAATGCCCACTGCTGAGCAAAGCCTCTTCTCACACGGAGAAGGTTAGAGCGTTAATCACCACGCTTGCTTAATGCGGGTTGGCGATTTCAAACTTATAATTAGAAATTATAAGTCCAGGTTTCCTCACGATGTTTTTCCTTCACCGTTTGTCAGTGGTGTTTAAATAATCTTAGAAAAAAGGCACATTGGTACTTGCCGTCGGTAGGTTTCGAATCCGCACCCTCATGCATGAGAAGTGGGCGTCTTAAACCTCCGGGCCACCACGACTCTAATAATAACTCTATTAAAATTAATATTCGGGTGAATTCGCGGGTAACAACAGCTAGTGTTGTACACGGTAACCGGGGCTCCAGCTCGACATGCAGGAGAAGGAACGGGGTGGTTTTTAGTCAGTAAGAGTCTTACACTCTCTCCCGCCTCACCCAGGCGGGAGCAGTCATTCGATGAATTTCCCCCCTTAAAAAAAGGCTTGACTAGAATCGAGTGGCGTTTGAGTATTTAGACACTCAACTATCGATTTTAACACTTCAGTCACAATTTTGTAATGCTAACTTTGACACTTTTTGTTCGTTACCTAACTATTACTCAGTAACATAGTAACAATATAACGCTACTTAGGATAAGTAGGTCAACAGTACTCGTGAATTTCAGACATTCTTGCAGAAATTTGATAATTATTATGGTTTGATAGCACGGAGTATGGAATTGCGTCGCCGCGCTGCTGCCCGGTCTCTGTCTAATTTGTAGTCCCTTAAGCGGGTATACGACACCCGCGGGAAGAATAGCGGTGGTGATAAATGTATTCAGTTAAACATTTTAAGAAAAATAATAAAGTTCAAGAATTCAATCTGAAACTTTATTTTTGCGCTCAACTTAAGAGAAGTTTTTACAAGTCCCAAAAAGAAAAAGCAAGCAAATCCGACTAACATCACTAGTTAACAAGAAAACACTCCAAAATTAATACCAACGTACATACATAACATAACTCACGACATCATCATAACAAAAGTAAACATCAACTTTCAAATTACACAATTCCATTGAGATCGGCACATCAGTTTCTGAGAATGCGGCATACACACGTACTTGCATGTGACAACCAGGTTTCCATGCCAAGGTTATGACGATTTGTGCCGCTTGCAATTACCCGACTGCGTCTAATAAAGGTGAGGTTATGGTTTCTCTTGTGGTATTTTATAACCACAAATATTTACACGACAATTTTGTAAAGAAGTTTCGTGTAATCAGGTCGTCATGAGCTAATGTTCACATGTAAACAGAAGATCATGTAGTGTAGATGTCCAGTCAACAAGGATGTAGCGAGGTTGACTGTCCAGGCGACACACGTACTTAGGTATCGTCATGAGCTAATGTTCACATGTAATCGCAAGTTACGACACAACGTAACATACAACATCTGTAGCAATATGGTTTTTACAAAAAATGCATTAGTTAACCAGGTAAGCGTGAACTAAAGAAATGATTGCTTTTAATTATATAGACCTCGTTTGTATTTACTCTGATTTGTTAATTACAAATACTATTCTTATCTTTACTGCCTTGTTTGCCGAGTGGACGAAAGTGCGACTGCCGGGCAAGGGGTCTTTTTTTTAAGGGGGGAAAATCATCGAATGACTGCTCCCGCCTGGGTGAGGCGGGAGGGAGTGTCAGACTCTTACTGACTAAAAACCAGCCCGTTCCTTCTCCTGTACGTCGAGCCGTAGCCCCGGTTACCCGTTAGGTTCTCCAAGGTTCGATTCCCGGATCGGGCAAAGTATTATTGGGTTTTAATAAAATCTCACTATTAACACGGAGAATTGTGCCCGGTATATAAACCGATCAAAATTGCAAATTCCTTTGCCAAAAAACCACCGAAAAAATCCAATAATACTTACTCGACCTAGGAATCAAATCAGCACTCGTACTTGTTTGCCACCACTTGACTGACTAATAAAAAAAACAAAGTCAAAGTCAAAGCATCTATTTCAATTAAACCATAATGTTGGTACTTTTGAAACGTCAACAAATACAAAATAAATAATAGTCTGTCAGTCAGTCCGTCAGTGAGGCTAGGTGAAGCTAGGTGCTCATTCCAAAATGTAGATTCGAATGGAGAAGAACGAGCAAGAAACTCCATTCGTTACTCTTTTATTGATGTTATGATAAAAAACTTGATGTTATGTTAAGCTTAACTGGATAAGATCAAAATCCAATCCCCTGTGGAATTTAGACGCCATACTTAACCTACTTTTTCATTCCTAGCTCTTCGAAAAACTGCGAGAGATGAGAGGTGGAGTGGAACCACTGTTGGAGAAGGTGACCCTTATCAATGGAGACGTGTCGGAACCAGATCTGGCGATGAGTCCTGAGGACAGGCAGATGATCATCGATCAGGTTGACATCATCATCCACGCTGCGGCTACCATCAGGTACGATAATCATACTTATGTCCAGTTACTTATCATCACCTGCTTTATTTTTTGAGGGTAGACAGCCATCCAATCCATCTTCTTCCGCCATAGATGAGGCGTGATAAGAGTTAGACTGTTACTGATTAAACACCACCCCGTCCTACTCCTGATCTTCAAGCCGGAGCCTCTGAACCTCCGGTCACAGCTGAACTATGAATTTCGTCCATATTATAAGTGGTTTGCCATATTTTTCTCGCTTGCTAAGCTGGTGTAAGAGATTGTAATTTGAAAGGCGCAGATTTAGCTCGGTCGGTCGGTCTCTGTCAAATGTGTAGTCCCAAGTCGGGTATACGACACCCGCGGGAAGAGTAGCGGTGGTGACAAATGTATGTCCAAAATCCCATTGACGGAAAATAAAATATCTCGATCATATTTCAGGTTCGATGAAGAGCTGAAAAAGGCTGTTCTTCTAAACGTGAGAGGTACCAAGCTGATGGTGGAGCTGGGGAAGGCTTGCAAGAATTTGAAGGTACGTAGACTTACATCTGAGAGCATCATGCTTCAGCCTTGCTGGGTTTTATCGACCGGAGTGATACCACGACCTTACAGTACACCGGCGTCACACTACCACAGCGTTGTTTGCACCCGTGTCAGTAAGGTGTCGTGGTGTCCCAAAGGTTAAGACGCCCGCTTCTTATGCATAAGGGTGCGGGTACGAAACCTACCAACGGCAAGTACCAATGTGACTTTTTCCAAGTTATATGTACTTTCTAAGATTATTTAGACACCACTGACAAATGGTGAAGGAAAACATCGTGAGGAAACCTGGGCTTATAATTCCTAATTATAAGTTTGATATCGCCAATCCGCATTGAGGAAGCGTGGTGGTTAATGCTCAAACCTTCTCCGTGTGAGAAGAGACTTTGCTCAGCAGTGGCCACTAGGCTGTTGATGTATGTTTCAGTAAGGTTACTGAAGACCTAATCCTCGTTCCTCTCATCCTAAATCCCTAAATACTCAAATTCCTCACCCCAAAAGGCCGGTAACGCACTTGTAACTCCTCTGGTGTTTCAGGTGTCTTATTGCGGCGCCAATTGCTTACCATCAGGTGATCCGTCTGCTCGTTTATGTCATAAAAAATAATAATACCCCGAAGTTGGTTATAACTGATTGCAAATGGCTTTTCGTTTGATATTCAAAAGTGCCTTATGATTTAAAGAAGATGTAATTTAATAACATTCTTCTTGCAGGTATTCATCCACATCTCGACAGCTTACTGCCACCTGCACGAGAAACTCTTGGAGGAGAAGGCGTATTCTCCACCAGCCGACCCTCATCAGATCATTCAAGCGGTGGAGTGGATGGACGAGGAGACCATTGCTACTATGACGCCCAAGTAAGTTGGATTTAAGGGGTCAGCAGAAGTGTTGGACTCTGATACCCGTTTTCATCTACCTCTCTTCAATTTTAAGGAAGCACTAAGTTAATTATATACGTGACACAATACACCATTTTGGTTTTTATCAATCTACTAACTTCTGCTTGCGACTTCGTTCGCGCAGTCTCGTTTTCTCCCGTTCCCAGGTTTTTTTTTTCTATCATAAGAACCTTCTCCTGACAATAACAAACACAACAAAAAAACGATCAGCCAAATCGGTCTAGTCGTTCTCAAGGTATGGCGTGACAACGGGAAACGGGTTTCATTTTTATATTATCAATCTATAAGTAAGACCTAAAAGTAAAGGTAAGGATTAAGTTAGGTGCTCTCATATGCTAAGGAACTCTTAGTTAAGAGATGATTTAGGGGATGGTTAGTGGAAACAGCCATGAGAACCTGTTCTTTCATCTTTTTCTTAGTTTACTAGCTTTTGGCAGTGGCTTCGTCCGTGTTTCCGGATAATAAGTACTCCATGTCTTATTCTAGACTAGCTTATACCCACGGCTTTGCCCGCGTATTCCTGTTTTATCCCATGGAAGCATTTAATCGGGATAAAAAGCATCTTATCACCTAAGTCAGCCTATACCCTGCCTGTATACCAAATGTCATCAAAATCCGTTCAGTAGTTACAGCGTGTTTGACTGACGAACATCCCAACAAAGAAACATTCACATTTATAATATTAGTGTGATTATAATCTAGATCTGTAGCAAATTCAGACCACCATAGATAGGGCCTAACAGGGCTGATGCCGATACGGAGCCGCGGAAGACTTAACGGGTTGCCGGGGCTCCGGCTCGAAGTGCAGGAGTAGGAACGGAGTGGTTTTTAGTCACACTGTTTTAGTCATAGTTTTTAGTTTGACACTCCCTCTCGCCTCACCCGGGCGGGAGAAGTCATTGGATGGTTTTCCCCCCTCAAAAAAAGTTCTGTAGCTAACAATATTTATTCAATAGGTACTCTTCAAAAGATCCTCTATTCTCCACGCTTGACTATCAGGTGGAAATCGGATTTTAAAAAGATCAGGGTGCTTACTCTTGAAACCAATCTCAATGTTAATGCAATTTCAATCCAATAAAATCTCAATAATTATTCAATGTCAACTATACAACCCCAATCGTAGCTGTTACAATAGCATTCAGAGTACGGAATATAAAGCCAAACTCAATACTATTTAGTTCATTCAATATCCACGCAATACGGATGCAATGGGCGCTAGTGTTGCAACTCAAGAGTATGAAATTACCAATGTCCATCGATCGAAATTGGATTCAAGAGTAAGCCCCAGGCCAGGTCTACTAACACTACTGCCGGGATCTCTGTTGAATAATAACATAATTCCCTAGTCGGGTATACGACACCCACGACACGAGTAAAGGTGGTAACAAAAATATATATTCTACAATACCGTACCTTTCATTTTAAACCCGTTTCGTCTACGATGACGCAATAATTGCAACGTGCACTCAACTTCCTTTCACTGGCAGTCAGTAAGTTCGATTCTAATTATAGTTAGCCTTGAGACTAGAGTCAATAACCTCCATGCTATCTAGGGCATAATATTGCAAACTAGTGTTTAAGACCTTGACCTACAGCCTTGTGTTTTTGGAATTAGATATCTAGATTACCGGATTCCTAATTCATTAATGATTTTTCCAATAGTCAAATTATAAAATACTAGCTGTTCCCCGCGATTTTGTCCTCGTATAATAATGACTTATTTTTTTTTATTAGTCTTTACATAACATAACATTACGCCTTTTTATCCCCGAACGGGGATAAGTGCGACTTCGATTTCCGGATCGGGCAAAGTATTACTGGGTTTTTAAAAAAAATCTCAGTAGTAGCACGGATTCTGGAATTGTGCCCGGTATATGGCAATAGGCTCACCTCCTATTACATGGAACTCATAACATAAATAGTGAAAAGTGGTTGTTACATTGTACAGTGGCATTAAGTGCCGTAATGTACACTTCTGCCTATCCCTTCGGGGATGAGAGGTGTGATGTTATGTTATGTTATTTCTTGAAAATTCGAGTCAGGGTCGACAAATCAGTCAGGAATCGGCACACTTATAGAAGTTCAAAGTGGAATATTTAATCTAAATGAACTGAACTATTTTATTTTGTTTCCAGGCTACTGAACAAGCTGCCGAACTCCTATGCCTTCACGAAGGCTCTTGCTGAAGCCCTCGTCGTGGAAGCCATGGAGAAAGCTAACCTGCCTGCCATGGTGCTCCGACCTTCGATTGGTAAGCAGCTTCTGAATTAACTAAAAATTACGAGTTACTCGCGTAAAAATACTGAGAAAAGCTCTACTAGTTTCGAGTCACAGAGGGACTCTTCCTCATTTGCAGCGTGCACGGTCGCCATACCATACTCTGCAGGAGTAGGAACGTGGTGGTGTTTAGTCAGTAAGAGTCTGACACTCCCTCCCGCCTCACTCAAGCGGGAGAAGTCATTCGATGATTTTCCCCGCTTAAAAAAAAAAACATATATTTAAAAAGCTGACGGTCTACCTTCAGGAATGAGGTAGTACCAATAGAAAATAATCATAAGACAGCTCTATTAAAAAAAAAACTATAGATGACTGCCTCGTTGGCCGACTGGTCGCAAGTGCAACTGCCGGGCAAGGGGTCTCGGGTTCGATTCCCGGGTCGGGCAAAGTATTACTGGGTTTCTACAAAATTCTCAGTAGTAGCACAGAGTCTGGAATTGTGCCCGGTACATGGCAATAAGGTCATCCCCTATTACATGGGGCTCATGACATAAATAGTGAAAAGTGGGTGTTACATTGTACAGTGGCATAATGTGCACCTCTGCTTACCCCTTCTCGGATAAAAGGCGTGATTTTATGTTATGTTATGTAGATACAAGTGGGTTGTGTGCTATTTGCACTCTAACCATGAATAAGAGTAAGAGCCCCAATATGACTTGAACTTTATCGGGCTTTTCTCGAATGTTTTACTCAAACTAATACAAAACAAAATAAATTAGAGTCGTCCGTTAGTGAAGCTAGGTGCTCATTCCAAAATGTAGATTCGAATGGAGAAGAACGAGCAAGAAACTCCATTCATCAAAGTCAAAGTCAAAGCATTTATTTCAATTAAACCATAATTTGGTACTTTTGAAACGTCAACAAATACAAAATATAATAGTCTGTCAGTCAGTCCGTCAGTGAAGCTAGGTGAAGCTAGGTGCTCAATCCAAAATGTAGATTCGAATGGAGAAGAACGAGCAAGAAACTCCATTCGTTACTCTTTTAAAAAAAGTATGTTCTACAATGTCTCTGATACATATTCCAATACTGTACGTATATGTGAGAACAATGCAAAGACATGCTTGACGCATTATACTAATTACAAAGCTTACTAAAATAAAACATCTTATAGTCCAACATGGTGCTCACATATGCATATTGACAATCCATAAAAATAGTGCTTCTATACAAGAAAAAGGAAACTCTTTGTTTCAATAAAGAAAGAAATGCTCGATGCCATAAGGAAACTAGATTGTCTACATTAGTCTTTTACGTTGGAAAACTCCTGGTATATTTAAAACGCTAGCTTTAGACTATTTTTTTTAATTATTATGTTTTCGGCTTACTCACGTAATTACTTGACGAGGAATTCGCCTAGTTTCAAGCCATGCTAGAGGTTCATATTCATGAGCAGCATTCCGCGACCTGCGCTGCTCCAGGCTGTAGCAGCCGGCAGCCGAAAACATAATAATGAATTCGTTATGTCTAACGAGAGTTATAATACAATTATTTTCTTCTTCTAGTAATTCCAATCTGGCAAGAACCTGTTCCAGGATGGACTGATAACATTAACGGACCGACTGGATTGCTTATTGGTAAAATTTTCATATTACATTGTGTATAAAAAAACTGTTGCCTCGTTGGCCGAGTGGTCGCAAGTGCGATTGCCGGGCAAGTGTTTTCCGGTTCAATTCCCGTGCCAGGCAAAATAATACGGGGTTTTTAAAACAATTCTCAGTAGTAGCACGTAGTCTGGAATTGTGCCCGGTATATGGCAATAGGCTCACCCTCTATTACATGGGACTCATAACATAAATAGTGAAAAGTGGGTGTTATATTGTACAGTGGCATTAAGTGCCGTAATGTGCACTTCTGTCCACCCTTTCGGGGATAAAAGGTGTGATGTTATGTTATGTAAAAAAAATTGTAGAAAATATCTGGCATAACCGTGTTGTTATGAAGTAGAAAGATCAGGATTTTGATAATGAAACAGTATTATTAAAGCTACAGTATTATTAGTTCAGTCATATCAAATTCGTCCACATGAAGTTCCACTTCTGATTCCCTATTTATCGTATCAAATGCAATTTCATAATTTATCGTCATACCGTACGATTCGATCGCACGGTTCGCGCGGTGGCTGGGTTGCAGTTGCGGGTTCGATTCCCGCACGGAGCAATTCTGTGTGATCACAAATTGTTGTTCCGGGTCTGGGTATGATATTATGTTTTTTTTTATGGCATAAGTCGGTAAACGAGCAGACGGATCACCTGATGGTAAGCAATCGGCGTCGCCCATGGACACCTGGAATACCAAAGGCATTACAAGTGCGTTACCGGCCTTTTGGGGATTAGAAGTTTGAGGATCGTTGGGGATTCAGGAATTGGAGAGATTGGGGAAGGGGAGGGTAATTGGGCCTCCGGTAACCTCACTCACACGACGAAACACAACGCAAGCGTTGGTTCACGTCAGTTTTCTGCTCGGCCGTGGTATCACTCCAGTTGAGCCGGCCCATTCGTGCCGAAGCATGGCTCTCCCACACTTAAATGTGAACTTGTTTGTTCGTAAATACACACGACACTGTACAAAATCCTAGTACGGGCCAATGTTAAAATAATGTTTTAGATCAGTCGGTATGTCCACATTTTTTATTGGTCGACGTTTGTCCACTATCTCGCCTGGTGGTAAGCGATGATGCGGTCTACGATGGAGCATGTCGTCCCATAAGCAACCTATTCACTCAGGACTCGAAGACATCCAGGTTATACCCTTCACGAATCAGATTGTAGTTTAAAAAGATTTGTCTTATCAAAGAGCGCTGCTGCTAAGCAGCTATCTTCGTAACCCCTTAGCCGGGTATAAGACACCCACGAGAAGAGCAGGGGTGGTCACAAAAGATTCTACCCTACCAACACCGTGTGTATTAAACATGAGTATTCACCTGATTTTTTTATTTTTAGGAGCTGGAAAAGGTGTGATCAGATCAATGTACTGCAAGAGTAACAGCTATGCCGATTACCTGCCGGTCGACGTTTTTATAAACGGGATCATGATAGTAGCTTGGAATTATTTGAAGAATGGGTATGTACATACATAAATACATACTTTTTTATAGTGAACCAATATGGTGCATATTACTAATTTTTATTTTAATGTCCGTCTGGTAGATTTTTTTAAAACATTACACACGTATTTTTTTTTTCTCACGGAAACACGATGAACTGATTTTGATTTGAAATATCGCGTGACGTCACTTCTATGTACATTTTATACGAAGTAATGACGTTTTAGCCCCCACTTCCTAAACTTTGATTCGTTTTATCTAAGTATTCTACTATTAAATGACAAAATAAAAATCGGATCGAATCGATCGACGATATATTATTGATTTGAAATATCGCGTGACGTCACTTTTGTTATCTTCCGTACGTTTTATAGTCGAAACTAGTATAATTAACAAACTAAGTATCATTAGCAAACTAGCTTCTCACCTCTTCGTCACTCGCGTTCCTTCAGGATAAAAACTAGCCTATATGTTAGTCCAGACCATAATCTACCCCTGTTCCCAATTTCATCTCGATCCCTTCAGCCGTTTTTATATGATTGAGGAACAAACACACAGACAAACAAACTTTCGCATTTATACTAGTACTAGCTTTTACCCGCGGCTTCGCTCGGGTCACAAAAGGATAAAAAGTAGCCTACGTGACATATACCAATACACACAGCGCCATCTATACCAATAATTTCGTTTTTCCTCGAGAATATCAATTTTTTCCGGGATAAAAAGTACCCTATTATTTAATCCAGACTTCTAACTTTACGTCTGTTAAAATTCAAAGCAATCGGTTTAGTAGTTACGGCGTGAAAGCGGAACAAACAAACAAACTCACCTACCGATTTATAATATTAGTAAGGGTTAAGATAACATAATAGCTAATTATTACGTAATTTATACTTTTAGTAATAATTATAGATGTGGTAAATTGCAGTGTGTAACTAGGTTCCTTCTTTACTTTATATAAATTGACTAGACGTATTATAATTAAAAAAATGACTAGATGTATTATAATGAAAAAATTGTATGACAAGGGCACGGACCTAGAGTCCGTGGAGAAATAATCTAATATATTGTAAAAAAAGACAATATAATATGGCGTCATTTATAGCATTAACATAACAGCTTCTATTTTATTTCCAGAGATAAAAAATGCAACATAATAAACTTCACATCATCAGCTGAGATCAAGGTCACCTGGTCTGAGATGATAGATGCTGGGAGAGAGATCATCATGAACAGAGTGCCTTTGAACGGAGTTGTGTGGTAAGTAAAGAAGACATACATAGTACCATGCCTTTTATCCCTGAAGGGTTTTTTTTAAGTGGGGAAAATCATCGAATGACTGCTCCCGCCTGGGTGAGGCGGGAGGGAGTGTCAGACTCTTATTGACTAAAATCCACCCCGTTCCTTCTCCTGCACGTCGAGCCGGAGCCCCAGTAACCCGTTAGGTTCTCCGCGACTCCGAAACGGCATCAGCCCTATTGGGCCCCATCCGTGGAGATTTTTTTAAAAACCCAGTAACACTTTGTCCGACCCGGGTATCGAACCCGAAACCTCTTAGCCACTTCGCCAACGATGTAGTCGTAAAGCATCGTAAAGCAGGCAAGTAAAGATGAAGATGTACTTATATGAGATAGGGTAAGGGAGAAGACGGATCACCTGATGGTAAGCAAATGACGGCGCCCATGGATATAAGAGTTACAATGCGTTGTCTTCTCTTTTTGGCCCTTCTGTAACCTCACACGGCTGCACACAACGCTATGGTTGCTTCACGGTATACTGTAAGGCCTTGGTATGGATCCACTCCAGTCATACCCATAGTCCGACTCATATAAGTGTGGGAGAGCCATGCTTCGCCACGAAGGAACCGGCTTGACCGCAGTAATACCACAATCTTACAGAAAACCGACGTGTAGCAACGCTTGCGTTGTGTTTCCTCGTGTGAGTGAGATTACCGGAGGCCCAATTACCCCCTCCCCTTCCCCAATCTGTGAATCCCCAACAATCCTCAAACTCCTAATCTCCAAAAGGCCAGTAACGCACTTGTAACGCCTCTGGTGTTCCGGGTGTCCATGAGCGACGCCGATTGCTTACCATTAGGTGATCTGTCCGCTTGTGCACCGCCTTATCCCACAAATAAAATATGTATCGGAGTGTGATTCACTGAAATTAGATACATAACATCACGCCTTATATCCCCGAAGGGGTAGGCAGAGGTACACATTATGCCACTGTACAATGTAACACCCACTTTTCACTATTTATGTTATGAGTCCCATGTAATAGGAGGTGAGCCTATTGCCATACATTGGGCACAATTCCAGACTCATCGTCGTGAAATTAGATAAAGAAAAAAATAATCTTTCAACGTCACTATCAGCTAAAATATTTCTACAATGACTGAACATATGTTTTACTTTTTATTTCGTCTGTAATCCTTAAGCTTTTTACTGCTTGAACAAAAATTTAGGAGTGCTAATGCCGTCCCAATCTGGTATAAAGAGTATGCGAAAGAAAACCCAATTTCTCTAGCATCCATATCTAAATTCCTTTCACCTCAGGTACCCAGGTGGTTCAATGAAGCATTCCAGACTATACCATAACATCTGCGTGTTCTTCTTCCACTGGATCCCAGCCTTCATCATCGACACATTACTCTTCTGTCTAGGATACAAGCCAGTGTAAGTATTATTTGAAGTACCCTAGGTTCTACCAACAGCTTTTATTAAGGGAGGAAAATCATCCAATTACTTCTCCTGCCCGTGGTGAGGCGGGAGCGAGTGTCAGACTCTTACTGACTAAAAACCACCCCGTTCCTACTCCTGCTTCACTTTTCCCGCGTAATACCATACAAAATATTCAGTAGAATTATACAGTTTTTCCAATAGAATTAATGGAGAAAACGCTCTGTTAGTTTCAAGTACAACGAATCTAAATTAATTATTACGTTTTCAGTGCCTTTAGCCAAACGCCACTTTAGCGCTTGTCTACCGAGAGAGTAGAAAACTAAATATATGGGAATGACACTGACAAGTGTCAAAATTTACATCAATCCCATATAATTTGGTTTTCTATTCTACATGTAGACAGACGCTAAATGGCATTTAGCTACAGCTGCAGATTTCTCACGTAACTGTTTGATGAGGAACTCGACTAGTTTCAAGCCATGCTAGAGGCTCATATTCAGTAGCAGCGCGACATTCACGGCGTCGCGGGTCGCCGAATGCTGCTCATGAATATGAGCCTCTAGCATGGCTTGAAACTAGTCGAGTTCCTCATCAAACAGTTACGAGAGTTAGCCGAAAACTATTATAATAATAATTAATTGAATAAGTATGTCTCACGACAGTTCTACTTCGGGTCTCTTATTCATGAGTAGCGTGAGTGACGTAGTGACTTCACCCAGCTGTCTCGCTGCTACTGATGGCCATTTTATACCAGGAAATCCGTTGGCAGGTTTTATTTTACGTATTATAAATAGTAAGTTTTCGACCGATATACCTAAAGTAAGGTTAAATACAGAAAATAATCGAAATATCTGACCTATCGGGGACCATAAAGTGTTGTTGACCCATCGACTGACAGATAGCTATTTAATACGAATCTTTCGCAAGCACCGGTAATTTTTACCCCATGGCGTTTCATATTTTAATAGGCATAACATAAGATCACGCCTTTTATCCCCGAAGGGGTAGGCAGAGGTGTACATTTACAGCACTTAATGCAACTGTACAATGTAACGCCCAATTTTCACTATTAATGTTAAGAGTACCAGGTACAATTCCAAACTCCGTGCTACTACTGAGGTTTCTTTTTAAAACCCATTAATACGACCCGGGAAACGAACCCGAGACCCTTTGCCCGGCAGCTTCACTTGCAACCACTCGACCAACAAGGCAGTCATGTTAATGGATATTATTGTTTTCAGACTATGTCGAGTACAGCGCCGTATCACCAAAGGTTTTGAAGTATTTGAATACTACACGAACAACCAATGGGACTTCAAATCTGACATCGCACAGACGCTGAGACAGAAACTCAATGCTAAAGAGAGACGGGACTATAAAGTCGACGCTGTGGGTGAGTGAGATAGATAGACGAAGATTTTAATTTTATTAGATTACATAACGCCTTTGGCACAGGTGCCCATTACGGCACTTAATGCACAATGTACAATGTAACATCTACTTTTCACTATTTATGTTATGAGTCCCATGTAATAAAGGGTGAGCCTATTGCCATATACCGGGCACATTTCCAGACTCCATGCTACTACTGAGTAATATTTTTTTAAAAACCCAGTAATATTTTGCCCTATTACATGGGACTCATAACATAAATAGTGAAAAGTGGGTGTTACATTGTACAGTGGCATAATGTGCACCTCTGCCTATCCCTTCGGGGATAAAAGGCGTGATGTTATGTTATATTATGTTATGTTATTTCGACCTGCATACAGCCTATGCTTACTATGACATTTTGTATATTCAACAGGTCTGGATATCTCGAAATATTTTGAAGACTGCATCAGAGCCGCTCGGGTCTTCATTCTGAAGGAGTATGATGACACCCTGCCAGCTGCTAGAAGACATATGAGAATGTGAGTATGTAGAAGGGGTGGGCAGAGCCATATTGTTCCTAAGACAAACTAGGCAAGCACCTGGGGCGCCAGGTTGCAAAGAAGCGCCACGAAATGCGCATAACAACTGTACTACTGAGCACCTAGCTTCACTGACGTAGGTACTCAAAAGTCAAAGCATTTATTTCAATTAAACCATAATTTGGTACTTTTGAAACGTCAACAAATACAAAATAAATAATAATCTGAATATGTAATAACTCAAATTCCTATTTCCAGAATGTACTGGGTCGACGTGATAGTCAACTGCCTGTTCTGGGGTTTCCTGTTGTACTGGCTCAGTGGATGGATGACCACATCCAAGGCCATCGTCCCTGACACTGCTTCACCCACTGTCATAGCCATGGACGCGTAAACACCGCCATCTTGGACGTATGAAGATTGACAGCTGTCACTTTTGACACCTGTCATTTTTGACACGTCTTGTCAAAGTGTATTATTGCTAAATTTGAGTGTTGCTATTCTTTATTTTAAAGAAGTAAATAATAATTTTAAGTAAAGAAATTGTTTGTTTTAGGAGTGCGATTTGTGTTTTGTGTGTGTTGCGATTTGTGTGTTGATATTATTGGATAGGTATTTGTGTATGTAGCTTTATGATGCTTAGTAACATTTTATATTTTGTAAAGAATTAACTGAAAATAATAGCAGTGTGCGCTACGTCTCTCGTGAGGAAAAGTTCCTCCGTGACTCGAAACTATCGTATTGAGAAGTGACGTCACGCGACATTTCAAATCAATATATCGTCGAAAGTATTCGTTTAAGAAAATAAAAAATACGTTTCTAATGATTTAAAATAATCTACCAGACGGACATTAAAATAAAAATTAGTCATCTATCCTATTGAGGGTTGAAGTTAGCCATTTTTCAATACATCTCATATTCATCTTATAATTCTATTCAGTCACTGGCCCCTCGCTGGAAGGGGCCCTCGTTCAGAGCTTTTCATTGGAACTTTTCTGTTTTTCATTGGGAACGGGGGCACATTCGGTGAATCTACCACGGGCCTCGGAAGGGAATCACTGATTCTTTTTTCTATAGTTTTTTTCCACAGGCATGTAAAAAAATATGTTGTGTTCATGAGTTTTTCTAAGGTGTAGGCATTATTGCATTAGATTTAAGTTTAAAAATAGGTACTCGTTATACGTACCTGCATTGTAAGACTCTGAAAGACCTGTAGTTTAGGATTTAGATATAATTAAGTATACGATTTTTGTACCTAGATTGAATACTTATTTTGTAAATAAATTCATTGATGAAAAAAAAGTACTCTTTTTTATTTATTATCATCATCAACAGCCTATAAATGCCCACTGCTGAACAAAGCCTCTTCTCACACGGAAAAGGTTTGAGCATTAATCACCACGCTTGCTCAGCAGGGTTGGCGATTTCAAACCTATAGTTAGAAATTATAAGCCCAGGTTTGACGATGTTTTCCTTCACCGTTTGTCAGTGGTGTCTAAATAATCTTAGAAAGGAAATATAACTCGGAATAAGTCACATTGGTACTTGCTGTTGATAGGTTTCGGTCCCGCACCATCATGCATTGGAAGTGGGCGTCTTAAACCCTCTGGCCACCACGACTTAAGTCCAGCTCTTATGGTATTCCGGCCGGGAGTTTGTGAATGGCACTGATGCTTGCCGTGATTGCCATGCCATGATGCTTACCTAATTTCACTGACGGACTGACTGACAGACTATTATTTATTTTGTATTTGTTGACGTTTCAAAAGTACCAAACTATGGTTTAATTGAAATAAATGCTTTGACTTTGACTTTGATTAAACTGTATTTAATGAATAAAACCAACTGTAGTCATCTATTATGCACATTTTTTATTATTTGATATTTAAAATTATTTACCTTAATCAGTGTAGACTTACACGGAAATATATTTAATAACTTAAATATAAAATCTCATACAAAACATAATATTTGATGTGCAAGACTTTTGTTTTTAAAAATATGACACAAATAATTATGTTGACAAGTCTACAGTCAAGGACATTAAAAAAAAGGCGAACATAATATCATTTAGAACTGATTGAAGCACCAAAATGTCAGTGGTGTATTTATGTGTGCGTGTGTAATGGGGACCACGTTACTAGAGGCCATAGTACGAGATTGTTTTTCGTAATGAGTACGCGTTCGGCGCTGATTGGTTACTTCGTTGGCGCCGGCCAATCAGAGTGTCGAACGCGTACTCATTACGAATACTTTAAACGTAAATGAAACTCGTACTAAGGCTTCAGACTTAGGAAAATGACAGATGTCCTTCGTGTCAATGTGTGTGTATTCTCCGTGTAAGTCTATAGTAGCCAGGTGCCACAGTCGTTGTTTCTAGAGACTATGTCCGCCTTTATTCAAACGTCCTTGTTTAAAATAATGTATAGTTTTTCAATGATCAACCAAATAAATTAGCAAATAATTGTTGACAATAGGCAACGATTTTTTTTTAATTACTAAAACAGTTCATTCTGTTCCTTTTTTGAGAATTTCTTTAACCTTTATTTAAAAAAAATAGAAACTTAGTCATATTTTCATTTTTTATGTCTACTTGAGTATCTATAGGTATTTTAAGGTCAGTCATTGAAAAACTATCATTATTTACAAAATCATTACAACTTAAAATATTTGGTGGATTGTTCAATATGAAGGAAAATATTGAAATAATTATAACCATACATTGTCTAGCAATACACGTACTTCTTATATGTCTTAAAAACTATTACATAATGTGTGTTTGATTAAAAAAAAACATTAAACCAAAATCAATGCCCGAAATGTCACTAAAACCGAAAAACAACATATTTTTGATTTGTGACTATTATGACAGTTCATCTGACTTTTGACATTTTTTCTGACATGACATGTTGATTTAATTCCATTTTAATTCTCTATTTTTACATAATATCATCTGAAATTTGACATAAATATAGTATTTATGATATTTATTTAGGTAAGTACCTATATATATATATTTTAAGATCTTACATTTGTTTTATATGGTGGATAGGTGAAATAAAATGAGTATTTTATAGGGATTCTTTGCTTAATATAATTATTTTAAAGCCTATTTTAATATCTTTTTAACTTTTTGACCGCCACAGTCACATGATGATAACAAATCCAAATGTAATTAAGTCCTATAACTCTTTTAATTTCTTTCTTGACATTTCATTAAGATGACATAATAAATTATTTCAATTTAACAGGAATAGAGAAATAAAATTTGTTTTGAATTATTCGACGGTTACCATTGACATTCTTATAGTTTTTAAAAAACGTATTTGACATTTCATTTTCCCTTTTTGACATTTTATTTTGTTTTTACATTTGACATGAATGCAATATGTCTTTTTGGACTTGGCTGTCAAAAGGCTAAAACTTAATTTTGAGGACTAAAAGGTAAATTTATTTACAAAAATATCTTGTGGTTTTATTTTACCGTAGGCGTCCAGCTAAAAATCTAAATACGTAGTATCCTGTAGCCGCTTGGAAAAGCTTGTGGACCCAATATAGCCTGAAAAATACATGAAAAAATAAGTCTTTTAATCAGATACGAACGAATGATAGATACACTGTAAATGTCAACCTACTCCTACCATTTTCATAGGACTTCCGACTATAAATGAATACGTTACAATTGAAAATTTAAATGATAGGTAGAAAAGAGCAGTTTGATGGACTGGCCGCTGCGCTTTATGAGATCTCAGACTGCCAAGTAATAAGTTTTAGTTTTGATTTTCGGATAAAGTATTCAATAGTAACAAAATTATCAGTAGTAGCTCCGGTCTGGAGGTCAGAGTCTGGAATTGTGCCCGGTATATGGCAATAGGCTCACCCCCTATTACATGGGACTCATAACATAAATAGTGAAAAGTGGGTGTTACATTGTACAGTGGCATAATGTGCACGTCTGCCTACCCCTTTGAGGATAAAAAACGTGATAGTATATGTAAAAAGTAATTGGAGGATGCCTCTGTTCGTAATCGACGTATAAGTAATCGATGTATTGTGGCTAATAATTTTTCTGATGAGATTTTTTTATGGAATAAGCCGGTAAACGAGCAGACGGATCACCTGATGGTAAGCAATCGGCGTCGCCCATGGACACCTGGAACACCAGAGGCGTTACAAGTGCGTTACCGGCCTTTTGGGGATTAGGAGTTTGAGGATCGATGGGGACTCAGGGATTGGGGAGATTGGGGAAGGGGGGGTAATTGGGCCTCCGGTAACCTCACTCACACGAAGAAACACAACGCAAGCGTTGCTTCACGTCGGTTTTCTGTGAGGCCGTGGTATTACTCCGGTCGAGCCGGCCCATTCGTGCCGAAGCATGGCTCTCCCACACTTAGATGATGATCATTAAGCAAAAAATTTTTCCAAAAACTTACCGCCTCAGCTTAGTCCTCGCGACTGGCAGAGATTCAGCCGTATCCTTAAGTATATATCTCCTTATGCCGAACATATATGCTCCTATGTAAGATTCCCAGTCAAAATCAGCCGGCCAATGGGGAAAGGCGCCAGAGTCTCTGGCATAACTGGCATCGTCGTGCAAAGCTGTCAACTCAGCGATGCCAAACTGCCATTCGTGGTTGGCAAAGTATTCTCCGGTTGCCGCCGCCATTTTGAAACGACGTGCCAGTTTCATCATTCTGGAAAAATAATAATTTTAGAACTATATGTGTATGTAGACTCCTTATACATTTGAAATCGCCAACCCGCATTGAGCAAGCGTGCTGATTAATGCTCAAACCTTCTCCGTGTGAGAAGAGGTGTTTGCTCAACAGTGACCACTTATAAGATGATAATTCGACTATGATTGTGACTATGACTATGAAAGTGGGTGTTACATTGTATAGTGGCATTAAGTGTCGTAATGAACCTCTGCCAACCGCTTTCGGGGATAAAAAGGCGTGATGTTATGTTATGTAATGACTATGATTATAACCTGTAACGAACAATGATTGTTAGGTATAACATTGTTTTTATTATAACAGTTTGCCGTGCACGCTGTTCATGGGGAGAGTCCCTATGTGACTCGAAACTAGTAGAGCTTTTCTCAATATATTTACGTGAATAACTCGTAATTTTTAATTAATAAGGAATGACATTTTTATATATATTTGGACTACACACAAAGATTGTGTCCTGTGTAGTACGTTACACACAACATACACAAACCAGATTCAACAATTTCTGGATTGAAAGAATCGAAATCGAAGCCGCACCACGTTTCGTAGCTGTTCATCCAACTATTGTATCAGGCAGACACAATATGTCATAGTTAAAAAAAAAGTCAAGGTTAAAAAAGAGTGTGTGCAGGTCGCTTCCAACCTCGCGATGTGTAGTCATTGGGGGAGGGCAGTGGACAGTACGTGGCTGTACGCATGAGGATGATGAATAAAGGTATACTTACATAGCCTTCCGTCCTTGAGCTCTGAGCAGCAGATCATACATGAACGCCGGCAGGAAATGACAGGTGATCTCCCAGAACGTGTTCATGAACCTCGATTCAGTGAAAGCGAAGTTCGGATACCACATCACGTATCTAGAAATGAAGAAGTTCACTATATAACCTCTATCTACTATCTTTACAACTTAAAAATGTCGAAGTTTAAGTCAAAGTCAAAGCATTTATTTCAGTTAAACCATAATTTAGTACTTTTGAAACGTAAACAAATACAAAATAAATAATAACATGTCAGTCAGTTCGTTAGTGAAGCTAGGTAAAACGCCCGCTTCTCATGCATGAGGGTGCGTGTTCGGAACCTACCAACGGCAAGTACCAATATGACGTTTTTTGAGTTATATGTACTTTTTAAGATTATCTAGACGCCACTGACAAACGGTGAAGGAAAACATCGTGAGGAAACCTGGGCTTATAATTTCTAATTATAAGTTTGAAATCGCCAACCCGCATTGAGCAAGCGTGGTGGTTAATGCTCAAACCTTCTCCGTATGAGAAGAGGCCTTTGGGCAGCAGTGGGCAGTTATAGGCTGTTGATGAGTGTGATCTTTACAATGACCGCCTCGTCGGCCGAGTGGTCGCAAGTGCTACTGCCGGGCAAGGGGTCTTCGATTCCCAGGTCAGGCAAAAGATTACTGTTTTTTTTTAATTTTCAGTAGTAGCACGGAGTCTGGAATTGTGTATATGGCAATAGGATCACCCCATTACATGGGACTCATAACATAAATAGTGAAAAGTGGGTGTTACATTGAGCAGTGGCATTCAGTGCCGTAATGTGCACCACTGCCTACTCCTTCGGGGATATCAAGGCGTGATGTTATTCTCTTACTATCTTTACAAGAGAGTAATCGTCATTAGTCTGCCGTCATCACTCGGCACGGTATCGTCGAGTATTGGAGACTCGGCCAAAAGACAGAAAAAAGAAGCGTCTATCCTGGGTTTATAATTCCTAATTATAATACCGCATTGAACAAGCGTGGTGGTTAATGCTCAAACCGTCTCTATGTGAGAAGAGGTTTTGCTCAGCAGTGGGCATTTATAGGCTGTTAAAGTGAATTGATGTGAATCTACCCCTGTTCCAGATTTCTCGCCAATCCCTTCAGCCTTTGTGATGTGATTGATTGACACACACACATACAGACAACCAGACTAACTTTCGCATTTATAAGTAATATTAGGTAGAAAACTTACTTGGTCGGGTTCTCTAATGCCCATTTGACGCAGAGCTTGGTGAACTGTCCCCACTGGAGGGGGTTGATGGACCCTGACGTCACGTTGTAAACTGGACAGCGACCCGGCCTGGAAACATTTCAATGTTTTATTAAAAACTATCCGTTGCCCGCGAGTTCGATCGCGTAGAATATGAATTTTACTTTAATTGTTCCCTCGGTAACATTCACTTGGAATCAAAAGTATCTTTGACAGCTAATACATTGTCTGTAAACCAAATTGCATCAAAATACATTCAGTACTTTCAGCGTTATTAAGGACTACTTCCGCGCGGTTTCACACGCTCTGCTCAGCTCCTATTGGTTGTAGCGTGATGTTTTATAGCCTATAGCCATCCTCGATAAATGCGCTATCCACACACAATAAGAATTATTAAAATCAGACTTGTAGTTACGGAGATTAGCTCGTTCAAAGAAACAAACAAAAAACAAACTCTTCCGCTTTATATGATAGTATAAGATGTAATAGTATAAGATATAAGATTATCAAGACTCCTGTTTTATGTCATGGAAACATTTAATCGGGGTAAAAGTATTCCATCACCTAAGCCAGCCCATACCCTGCCTGTATACCAAATTCTATTAAAATCCGTTCTGTAATTTCAGCGTGATTAATGGGCAAACATCTACTTAAACTTTTACTTTTATAATATTAGTCTGACACTGTATGAATAAGCTTCTAATCTTCATTTTGAATATTTCAGAACATTTTATCCGCAGAGTGATGTATATATTCCCATTGACAGAATTAGGTTCGGTCCAGGGGCGTAGCTAGCGCCGTATCTGACTTATCAATTATATAAGACACGTTGGGGGCCCCGGACTACGGTGCTAGTGCTACTATACTTAAAAACTTCTCAATTTATATTTTATTTGAATAATCACAAAAACTGCCTCGCTGGCCGAGTGGTCGCAGGTGCGACTGCCAGGTAAGGGGTCTCGGGTTTGATTCCCGGGTCGGGCAAAGTATTACTGTTACTGCAAAGTATTCGGGTTTTTAAAAAAATCTCAGTAGTAGCACGGAATCTGGAATTGTGCCCGGTATATGGCAATAGACTCACCCCCTATTACATGGGACTCATAACATAAATAGTGAAAAGTGGGTGTTACATGTTACATTGTACAGTGGCACAATGTGCACCTCTACCTAACCCGTCGGGGATAAAAAGGCGTGATGTTATGTGTAATCACAAAATGCATGCGTTCAAAGGTTGGCAGAAACCGTGGAATAGAGAAATCTATTCAATGGCAGAAACTTTGTCCGATAATTTGGGCGGAGGGAGATACCTTCAAAGTTTTCCGGTTTTAAGTTAAAACGGGAAAGCTTTCCATAATTATTATGTTAAAAAAAAATTCTTCTGAGCAATTTTTACCTTTATAAGGGCCCCCAAACATGTTTATACGGGCCCCACCAAGATACGGTACGCCACTGGTTCGATCATCCTATAGTAAGTATCAATATGCGACACCGACATAAAAGATATTGTTATGGGTACTGTTTATCATAGGTATCAACCTATTCCAAAGCGTTTGTAACCTACGACAACCCACGACACAGGAGAAGTTATAGTTTTTTAGTAGAGAGAAACGAGTAGACCGTTAACCTAGCTGATAGTAAGCAATTATTGACGCTCAACACCAGAGGAATTAGAGATACATCATCGCCTTTTAAAAAGTTTTAGTTTGTTAAGGCAATACTTACTGCTTAACTCCTTGCCTCCAAGCAGCTAGGATGCAAGAGTTGACGACCATGTCGACTGGTACCAGGTCCACCACGTACCGCTCCCGGCAGTACCCTGAGCGATAAGTTCCCCGCGATATCTCCATTATGATGCCTGGAAAAAGGAACAGAGCATTGCGATTTATTTACCCCATCCGCTGTCTAAACCAGCGTGACATTCCCTTTTCAATCCTTGTCACTACATCATCTTTCAATCTGTTATAAGTAAGTATATATATGTTTGTGAGAAGAAATGCTTACCGGTAACACCATAAACATTGTCGATCCATCCTGGATAGGGCTCTTGCAGGGCAGCAGTTACTGAAAAGAAAAGAAAAAATGATTAACCCTCAGCATTTCTTTAATTTTTTATGGGTTTTCTCATCATCCGATGACTTCTCCCACCGGGGTGAGGCAAGAGGAAGTGTCAGTCTCTCACCGACTAAACACCACCCCGTTCCTACTTCTGCACTTTGAGAAAAACCACGGGAACTTTTTACGTTCTCTGCGGCTCCGTGTCGGCATCAGCCCTGCTAGGTCATCAGCATCTGTGGTGGTCTGATGGCTCTTTGCTCGCGGAACGGTACACACCGTCCTCTCGGTTTTTTTATGGGCTAAGCCAGTAAACGAGTTGACAGATCACCTGGTGGGAAAGAATCGGCGTCGCCCATGGACACCCTCAACACCATAGGCGTTTTGTTTTTGTTTTAAACTGTCAAACACAAAAGCGGTCACCGGTGACCGCAACCTATTGTTCTATAATTGTGTCTACAAAACCGGTACTCGACGAGTTAAGGGGGGGAAATCATGGAATGACTGCTCCCGTCTGGGTGAGGTGGGAGGGAGTGTCAGGCGTTACAAGTGCGATATCGGCCAGATAATACAATTTATTTTTTATTACATTCAAAATGTAAGTACACCTCTGCCTACCCCTTCAGTTAATTAAACCTCCATAATATCATGTTCAATAATAATGCCATAATGACCTTTTCTTTGCATTCCCCATGAACTATTAAATACGCCATTGGTATCGATTTTCACAACATCAATTCTCAAATAGCGATTCCATTTAAAAATTCATGATACCCTTCAGTTTTCAGGCCTGAAATATCGATTTCACTTGTTATAAGAACTTAAGCCTTGTGTATGACTGTAAAGTAGAATACAATGTCACCTCCCCTACTCTTCCCGCGGGTGTTGTATACCTAACGGACTACACATTTGATTGAGACCGTGCAGCAGCGCTCTCTGATAACCCTGAACCTTTTATACTGCGATCTTCAACTGAGGGTGGATATGGCACACCCTCTTATGCAGAGATTATAGTTCAGCGGTGGACTGTCACTAGCTGATCACCTGATCACGATGGCAATAGTTTCACCCCCTATTTTTATGGTATAGGCTGGTAAACGAGCATACGGATCATCTGATGCTTAGCTGTCAGCGCCGCCCATGGACACCCGCAACAATAGGGAGTTACAAGTGCGATGCCGACCTTTTAGGGTAACTTACTATATTATATGGGACTCATAACATAACTGATGTAAAGCAGGTGGTACGTTGTACACGAAACTACACCTAGGAATGAGCACCTAACTTCATTTATAGACAGACAGACATATCCATTTTAACGTTTCATAAACGCCTTATAGATTGGAAAACATAACATAACATCACGCCTTTTATCCCCGAAAGGGTAAGCAGAAGTGCACATTACGGCACTTAATGCCACTGTACAACGTAACACCCACTTTTCACTATTTATGTTATGACTCCCTTGTAATAGGGTGTGAGCCTATTGCCATATACCGGGCACAAATCCAGACTCCGTGCTACTACTGAGAATTTTTTTTAAATACCCAGTAATACTTTGCCCTCAGTCGCACTTGCGACCACTCGGCCAACGAGGCTGTCTACATAAAGTACTATGTTTTAAAATGTCATCTGTTCTTCAATATCTGCTAACCATAGCCAGATAAGAAGTTGTGATGATATGACTATCGTTATATAACAGCTATGTTGACATGTCTGCTAACCGCTTTCTCGTAACTAGTTTCTAGATAGATAAGTTACATTGAGTAATAGGCCATGTTGTTTGTAATGAGTTGGCCTATAAAGTTATAGTATTTACATAACATATCGCCTTTTATCCCCGAAGGCGTGCAGATTACGGCAGTTAATGTCACTGTACAATGTAACACCCACTTTTCACTATTTATATTATGAGTCCCATGTAATAGAGGGTCTATTGCCATATACCGGGCACAATTCAAGATTCCGAGCTACTACTGAGAATTTTTTTAATAGACCCAGTAATTCTAACTCCGACCACACTCCTTGTATGGTGGTCGTCTTTGTAGGCAGAGGACGACCTAGTGAGTTACTGTGGCTCCGGTAGCAGGAGTAGGAACGGGGTGGTGTTTAGTCAATAAGAGTCTGACACTCCCTCGCCTCACCCTCAGGTGGAACCGTTGGATGATTTTCTCCCATAAAAAAAAGATTGAGACATTAGTCTACTGCTGGATCCGTAGTCTAGCATCCTCTACATAAGAGGGGTTTGACATTACCTACCTTAGCAGGCGTCAAAGTCAAAGTCAAAGTCAAAGTCGTCGCATTGTGAAACAAGTGAAACAAGTGAAACAAGTGAAACAAGTGAAACAAGTGAAACAAGTGAAACAAGTGAAACAAGTGAAACAAGTGAAACAAGTGAAACAAGTGAAACAAGTGAAACAAGTGAAACAAGTGAAACAAGTGAAACAAGTGAAACAAGTGAAACAAGTGAAACAAGTGAAACAAGTGAAACAAGTGAAACAAGTGAAACAAGTGAAACAAGTGAAACAAGTGAAACAAGTGAAACAAGTGAAACAAGTGAAACAAGTGAAACAAGTGAAACAAGTGAAACAAGTGAAACAAGTGAAACAAGTGAAACAAGTGAAACAAGTGAAACAAGTGAAACAAGTGAAACAAGTGAAACAAGTGAAACAAGTGAAACAAGTGAAACAAGTGAAACAAGTGAAACAAGTGAAACAAGTGAAACAAGTGAATTTATTTCTGCAAATAGGCTACAAGGCAGCACTTTTACACGTCAATTTTATCAAGCGAACGATGAGGTCGACATTTCCTAACTGACTACTCTGAGAAGAAATGCCGAAACAAACTCAGAGGTCTGTCTCTTTTAAAGTCCAGACAATATGTATAACAGATTATGTGTGAGAACCGTGCCAGTTCTTTCTGTAGTGGGCTTTTGAGGAAAGAACCACAACAGTTTGAGCGGACCCGTTCTGAAGGCAGTACGCATGTGTCGGTTTACAGTCAGCTCAATTAACAGGTGAGGCTGACTGATTCGACGAACAATACCAACCTAAAGAACATTTGCGTGGGTCGCACAAATACTCAAACTGTCAGAAAAAGGGTAATTAGAAAAGAAATGGTGAGGCAAAGTCTCGCACGGTCCTAGCACTAACAATTGTTAAATAAAAAGTAAATGTCAAGTTAGAACAACATATGAAAAACAATGTCACATTAAAACAATAATGTCAAATTGCATATAAAAAAAGAAATGTAACTATATGTTACAAACATGTCAACATGACCTGTGTGGACGTTACAGCAGCTTATTCCCAAGCCAGACTATCATCTAGGTAGTCTTTTATTTTATAATAAGCTTTACTATAAAATTTATCTTTAATGACATTTTTAAATTTATTTAGACTCAAATTTTGGATATGGCTGGGAATCTTATTGTAAAAGCGTATACTCTGACATCTAAACGAACCACTTATTTTCTTTAGTCTAGTAGTGGGAACAACATATTTGTCTTTATTTCTCGTGTTTATATTATGTATATCACTATGTTTTTTAAATAAACTTTTGTTTTTATGAGCATATACTAAATTTTCATAAATGTATTGAGAAGCAACCGTCATTATATTAATTTCTTTAAATAGTTCCCTGAGAGAGTACCTCGGACTAAGATTATAAATTGATCGAATGGCCCTCTTCTGCAGAACAAAGATAGATTGAATGTCAGCAGCATTCCCCCATAAGAGAATACCATATGACATAACACTATGAAAATAACTAAAGTATACTAATCGCGCTGTATCTACATCGGTTAGATTTCTAATTTTTTTAACGGCATATGCTGCAGAACTGAGCCTTTTCGATAACTTATTTATATGTGGAGCCCACTGGAGCTTAGCGTCTAGGGTTATACCTAAAAAGACAGTAGAATCTACAGGGCTCAACTCCTCACCCTTAATGAGCACGCTGGTTTTCACATGTCCAACATTTGGTGTTGTAAATTTAATGCATTTAGTTTTAGTTCCATTTAGTAATAGGTTGTTGGCATTGAACCAGCGTACTATCTCCGAGAGAGCACTGTTCACATTATTAATAACTAATTGTCTACGTTTAAGTTTAAATAATAACGAAGTATCATCCGCAAACAGTACTATCCCGTGGTTATCCCTTACAAGGTAAGGTAAGTCATTTATATATATAAGAAACAAAAATGGGCCGAGAATTGACCCCTGCGGAACCCCCATCCTGACAACAGACCCGGTGGAGACTTTTCCGTTTATTTCGACTCTCTGAATCCTGTTACTCAAGTATGAGGTAAGAAGATCCAGAGATTTACCTCTTATTCCATAATGGGATAGCTTCCTGATCAATGTATCATGAAGGACACAATCGAACGCCTTGGATAAGTCACAAAAAATGCCCAAAGCGTCGCTTGAGTCCTCCCACGCGTCATATATGTGATTAAGAAGTTCAACACCGGCATCAGTTGTTGAACGACCCCTGGTAAAACCAAACTGGTTACTATGTAACAATTTATTTCTATTAAAAAATCTTTGCATTTGATTTAGAATAATTTTTTCAAAAATTTTACTAAATGTAGGTAGTACTGAAATAGGTCTAAAGTTAGTGGGGTCAGAAGTACTACCTGATTTAAATAACGGAGTTATTTTACTATTTTTCATAAGATCAGGAAACACACCGCGGTCGATACAATTATTAAAAATTAGAGCTAATAGAGGTGCTATAATAGCTATAACAGAGCTGGCAATGTACACAGAATTTCCCCACAAATCTGCAGTCTTTTTCTTATTTAAGGTATGGAAGGTTTTGACGATATCTGTACAATCTATGTGTTCAAAAGAGAACCCTATGCTGCAAGCTATAACGTTTTCTTTTAGTAAAGATTCTGCAACAGTGGGAGATGAATTCAATGACTTAGTCGTAGATATAGGAATGTCCGAAAAGAAACTTTCAAATGCAGCTGCAACTTCTGCGTCTGATTTTATTACATTATTATCAATTAGAAGACTATATTCATTACTTTTCTTTTTGGACCTTCCCGTCTCACTGTTAATAATACTCCAGGTCGCTCTGATGACATTGGAGATTGCACCAGAGGGCGCCCATACCCAGTCTTTGTTATGTAGTCTTTTAGATAAGTCGGGTATACGATACCCACGGAAAGAGTAGCGGTGGCAAATCTACTCTGCCGTCATACCAAACTTAGTTATCCTAATTTAATTGATTTTCAATTACATTACTTTATAATAGGTTTCAAAATTAATTGTAGAAGCTACTTCGTTCAGTGACCTTAAACTTTTTGAAGGACTTACATACATACGTACATATGTATACATAAAAGGTACGTACATTGTGTGAGATGCCATATATATATGTATTTAATATGTGACATGCATACTATAATAATATATTAATTAATTTGATCTAAGTACCCATGAACGTGCGTAATAGACTGCTTCAATAGTAAAGTTGACCACGACATTAAAGTCAAAGTCAAAGTCAAAATCATTTGTTTCAATTAGACCAGGAAGGCATTTTTTTATATAGCATAAACCGGTAAACAAGCAGACGCATCACCTGATGGTAAGCAATCGGCGCCGCCCATGGACACCCGAAACACCAAGGCGTTACAAGTGCATTACCGGCCTTTTGGGAATCGGGAATTTGAGGATTGTGGAGGATACTGAGATTCGGGAGACTAGGGAGACTAGGGACCGGTAATTGGGCCTCCGGTAACCTCACTCACACGACGAAACACAACGCAAGCGTTGCTTCACGTCGGTTTTCTGCTCGGCCGTAGTATCACGGTAACTGGCTGCCGCGCTGTGTCCGAATACCGGACGGAACAACTCATTGTGTCATCCACAGATTGTTATTCTGTGTCTGGGTGTCGTGTGTATATGAACTTATATGTTTGTAAACGCACCCACGACACAGGAGAAAATCCTAGAGTGGGGCAAAGTTTATTTTAAAGAAAAAGTTAAAGAAGCGACTGCCTCATTGCCCGAGTGGTCGCATGTGCGACTGCCGGGCAAAGTCCTACTGAGTTTTAAAAAAAAATCTCAGTGGTAGCAGGTATATGGCAGTAGGCTCATCCCCTATTACATGGGACTCATAACATAAATAGTGAAAAGTGGGTGTTACATTGCACAGTGGCATTAAGTGCCGCAATGTGCACCTCTGCCTATCCCTTCAGTTATATTCGGAGTCGCGGAGAACCTAACGGGTAACCGGGGCTCCGGCTCGACGTGCAGGAGAAGGAACGGGGTGGTTTTTAGTCAGTAAGAGTCTGACACTCCCTCCCGCCTCACCCAGGCGGGAGCAGTCATTCGATGATTTTCCCCCCTTAAAAAAAACCCCTTCAGTTATAAAAGCCATGATATTATGTTATGTTAAAAGAAGTTTAAAAATCGATTTAGTAGTTTCTGAGATTACAACGTGACAAACTCACGAACACTTGTCTTAACAATATTAACACAGTATAATAATATATAGATTTATAGTATGTCATTGTCTCTATTAGAACTATGGTTAAGTAGTAATTAACATATAACATACGAATATAGCCAGACAGACAGACAGCTGACTTATCAATGTGATAAAATTAGACCTTTATAGCATCTCAACGGCTTGGATAAAACTATTGTAAGTTTCATTTATGGCATTCATTTCGAAGCACGAGTAGCGAGAGGAGTAGGAACGCTGTGGATTTCAGTCAGTAAGAGTCTGACACTCCCTCTTGCCTAACCCAATAATAAGGACTTTCCTTCCTCAATAATAATAATACAGAAAAAATATATAAATATGCAGATTTAAAAGAGTAAATAATCAGAATCTGGAAGATAAACATAGCATACATTGTGCCTCTGGTGCTCTCTAGCACCGACGTAATACCTACACCCCTTCATCACTACATACAACAAATTGAACTACCTAAAAATACCTATATAATTATGCAAAAAGCTACAATCCTAAACACGTGCAGAATAGTTCGCAAATTCCTACAAGACGACGCGAATATTGAACTGAATCAATTAAATGAAACAATGAAACTCACTTGGCTTAGGCCGTGGTTTCATTATTAACGACATTCCTTAAATGTCGAGAAAAACAAAAGTTTGACCGCAATAATAATAGTAAGTTAAGTTTCAGCCACACCGCTTACGTCTGCACCGATACCTAACAAGCAGTGATCCTGCTCGGAGGGTAAGAAACTATTCGTAAGTCGCGAGTGGGCCAGGGATACAGGAGGCTTCGGCTGGAGCAGGTGATCTGAGTAGAAAGCGGTGGTAGTTTATTAACCCTTCAGCCACTCACATTCTCGTTGTCCCTCTGTTGGTATATCTAGCAACCGTTCCCGGGGCGGGTCGGTGAGTTGCCTGCCATTTTTACTGTAATAATTACATTGTTTCGCCAAGTGCCATAGTCATCTATAGTTTTCAATTTACCAGTCCACAGCAACCCACCCATACCTACCTTTTTTTTCCATCATCCACAATAGTTCTACACTAACCGGGGACTGTCCTTGGGTGCATTTCCATAGTGCATACAGGGATAGTCGCCGGTTTGTGTGTCCATTACATTTAGATTAAAGTTGTCTAAAGGACCTCTGCGCAGTTGGCTTCGTACGCCTTCCAAATTTCCGGGACCCTGTGGTCCCGTAAATGGTAAAGACCTACATAATAATAATAATAACGTCGTGAAAGTTGAGAAAGATAAACAAATAAAATATCTAGACTTAGCTCACGAGGTTGTCGACATGTGGAGTGTGGATTCGGCTATCATTGTGCCGATAGTCGTGTCGGCCATTGGTACCTAATCCCTAAAAGCCTCGACATCTATCATAGGAGGCTGGCGTTAGGTGGATGGATCAAGGGCCTGATACAGAAGGCAGTTCTCCTAGAAACGGCATGTATCGTGAGGAGGTTTCTGTTTCTGGAGCCCTACCCACCGGTAGCTCCATGCTCCCGCTAGGAGTCTGCTTCTATTTTTTATACTTGTAAATATTATTTTTCTGTATTCTTAAGTAAGCCTTAGTGGGTTGCGGTGGCCCGGAAGTTGAAGACACCCGCTTTTCATTTATGAGGGTGCGGGCTCGAAACCTACCAACGGCAAGTACCAATGTGACTTTTTCCGAGTTATATGTACTTTCTAATATTATTTAGACACCACTGACAAACGGTGAAGGAAAACATCGTGAGGAAACCTGGGCTTATAATTTCTAATTATAAGTATGAAATCGCCAACCCACATTGAGCAAGCGTGGTGATTAATGCTCAAACCTGCTCGCGTGAGAAGAGGCTTTTCTCAGCAGTGCGCATTTATAGGCTGTTGATGATTCTTAAGTAGTAAGTATTTAAAATGTTAGGAATGGATTCAAAGCGGTGGCTTGAAAGAAACAAATCAAGAAAGACCTTCCGAAAACAAAATCAATATCTAATGAGGTCATTTCCAGGTTAAACTTAAATTACTTATCTTTAGATATTTGAGGCACAAATTCAGTCCATTTTTCCCTTGGGAATCCACCTTAAGGGCGACACTTGTCCAGCCTTATTATGTCTCACAAGCCGTCACAGTAGAACCTTTTCCCATGACATTCATTTAAAAGTAATAAGTCATATCGATCGGTGATATGATTGGCCAACGTATAGCTTGACATAATATGTATGTACCTATGTTTGTCAATGCAGTACAATCGTCCCGCGGCAAAACAACTCGCCATGACGAGTACTATCGATGTATAAAAGTAAAAACAAAAAATAAAGTCATTGACTGCCTCGTTGGTCGAGTGGTCGCAAGTGCGACTGCCGGACAAGGGGTCTTGGGTTCGATTCCCAGGTAAGGCAAAAGTATTACTGGGTTTTTAAAAAAATATTCGTTTTACGTTACTTGCACATAAAACAGGTAGGTAAAATGGTGGACTTAATAGCTAGTGGCAGTTTATGCTCGATATTTTTAATCACAAACAGCCCACACACCAACTTTTAGCTATCAACCCTGAAAACTGCGTAACACTGCATACAAACTTCCATACCCTATTTTAACTCGTCGAGTACCGTCATTATAGACACAATTATAGAACAATAGGTTGCGGTCACAGATGTCCTCGCGGTGTTTGACAGTTTAAGGAAGTGGGCGGAGTTAGAAAGAGATAAAAAGTAGCCTATGTCACTATCCATCCCTTAAACCTTCTTCACTAAAAAATTCACGTAAATTCGACGCTCGATTTTGCCGTGAAAGCCAAACCAAACCGAACCAAACATACACACATTCGCAGAAGTAAGAAAATGTAGGTACTTACCAATCGAAGGTCTGACAATACAGACAGGCAGGTTGGTGTGACCATAGACTATGGACTCTGCTAGCGCCTTAGTCAATGTGTAGGGATTCGGATGTTCACCCTGCAAAGGGAATAAGGTATTAATATATGTAGACTGCCTCATAAGCCGAGTGGTCGCAAGTGCGAATGACGGGCACGGGGTCGGGCAAAGTATAACTTTTCAGTAGTAGCACGGAGTCTGGAATTTTGCCCGGTATATGGCAATAGGCTCAACCCCTATTACATGGGACTCATAACATAAATAGTGAAAAGTGGTTTTTACCACATTAAGTGCCCCTTCGGCGATTAAAGTGGCGTGATGTTATGAAATATCCTCAGTTGCTACCAAAACCAGCCGTTCAAGACCTGCCCAGTCCCCAAGCGGTCACCGGTGACCGCTCTTCACTTACCCAATTATAGACCTCATATCCAATGCTTAAAGACTACTTTTGTAGGAACAAATGTTGTAGATTTTTCATAATCGGGGATTAAGAAGTTAAGACATTGTGTCTCCAACATTAAAAGTACTGAGGACAGTAACTATTCCTTTTATTCTTCTCTAATCATATCTTCTGATTCACTTCGTTGTGGGATCCAAAACAGTTCAGTGTCTGGGACGCGCCGAAATATAGTATTTCGGTATTCGTATTCGTATCGTTTCGGTTGTATCTAGATCTAATGTAGATCCAGGTTAAGTGTGGGACATTCAAATGGGCTAGCTTGACCGGAGTGATACCACGGCCTCTCAGAAAACCGACGTGAAACAACGCTAGCGTTGTGTTTCGTCGTGTGAGTGAGGTTACCGGAAGCCCAATAACCCCTCTCTCCAATCCCTGAATTCCCAACAATTCTCAAATTCCTAATACCCAAAAGCCCGGTAACACACTTGTAACGCCTCTGGTGTTTCGGGTGTCTATAGGCGACACCAAGTGCTTACCATCAGGTGATCCGTCTGCTCGTTTACCGGCTTATGTCATAAAAGAAAAACATCCGTGAGCATAAAATTTGCAGATGTTTTGGGAGATTTAGCCTGTAAATAACCAACCAAAGACTACTTAACAAAAGAAAACAAACCTGAAGGGTATCTGAAATGACTTCCACAGTCTCCGGGGGCAGCATCTTAGTGCATCTCACGATGCTGTCAGGGTCGTAGGGCGGTGGGTAGACCCTTTCTTCAATGTGAGACCTGGGTGCATTGCTGTAGGCTGTTGACACGTGGACCAGGGCCTGGTTGGAGAGAAGACGGAGATTAGATGCCCTGTTTCAGTTGTATGTCAAAGATTTTAGTATATAGAATAATTTGAAATAGTGAAAGAAATGTGTAACTGTTCATTGTGTAAAAACTTAGATCAAAGATTGTTTTATAATTATAATGTGTTATGTTAAACGCCATGAGGGTCATCGGTGACCAACATTAGTGGAAGATTTGCATCAATAGTTTTCTAATGGCATTCAATGGTTTAACTCGTCGAGTACCGGTTTTGTAGACACAATTATAGAACAATAGGTTGCGGTCACCGGTGACCGATTGGTGTTTGACAGTTTAAAAAGTTTTTTTTTTCAGTCATGATCGTCCTACTGCAGGGCAAAGGCCTCCCTACCCTCCTTCTACTCCTCTCTATTTAAAGCTTTAAAAAGTATGATCGAGATTTTTTTGTTGTAAATTCTTATAGATAGATATATCCTGAAAACTGAACTTATATCTAGTGATTTCCAGTAGGTTCCATGTCGCCAGCGACGTCGGGTGAAGTAGCGCGACGTTGCCGGAGTTTGGTCGACCTGTCTAGCAACATCAACGTGGCATATAAGTTGCACGTTGTCACCGTATATGTCAAGCGACATATTTACTATGTATTATATTATTTATATTACGTTTTTTTTGGATATTTAATTTCTCTTTATATCAAAAACTTATTGCATCTGTTTCGTATTGTATGTACATTATTTTCTTATATTTTGATGATTTTTGTTATTTTCTTTACGCTTTTATGTTTGTTATTCATATTATGTATTTATGTAAGTATCTGACTGCCTCGTTGGCCGAGTGGTCGCAAGTGCGACTGCCGGTCAAGGGGTCTTGGGTTCAATTCCCGGGTCGGGTAAAGTACTACTGGGTTTTTTATAAATTCTCAGTAGTAGCACGAAGTCTGGAAATGAGCCCGGTATATGGCAATAGGCTCACCCCCTATTACATGGGACTCATAACATAAATAGTGAAAAGTGGGTGTTACATTGTACAGTGGCATAATGTACACCTCTGTCTACCCCTTCGGGATAAAAGGCGTGATGTTATGTTATGTTATGTTATGTAAGTATCTGTATTCTTTATTTTTCATAATCTTTGTTTGTGTGCCATTTGCCAAATGAATGCTTTTTCTATCTTTCTTTCTTTCTTTACATCGGCCGGCCTCGCTCGACATGTCGCCGATACATGTTTTAAGACATTTGTCCTCTTGTGTACTCTTAGCTTTAATGCATTATTCCACACATGTGTTCCCTTCAACACTCATTAAAAAGAAAAACAAGAATAAAAAAAAAAACTCAAAAGTACTGTTAAAAAATATAGTCCATACCTTCAGCTTGGGCATATCTTCCGCCAACTTCAGCAGGGAGGCAGTCCCTTGCACGTTCAGCGTGGTGGCTGCATGAAGAGGCTCAGTAAACCTCACAGTTGCAGCAGAATGGAATACTGCCGTCACCTTGCCCAGCAGCTCACGCTGTTCTGGACTGACTCCAAGGTTTGGAGCGGATACGTCTCCAGTTATTGGGTAGAGCTTGCCCAACCTTTCTGGCCATCTCGCCCTGATGCGATCGAAGACCTGGAGAGGGTATGGTTATAGATTTTGGATATTTATGGGCGTGGAAACTGAATTAGGTTTTTATGGATGTGGAATCTGGATTACTACAAAGATTGATAGATTAATTGGAACAGCTTAAATTGGTCTGGAATGGTTTAAGCCCTATTGTAAGAGTTAGCCACTATCTCGCCTGGTGGTGCACGATGATGCGGTCTACGATAGACCACGATTTATATGCAACCTATTTAATCGGGCCTTCAAAGCATTCAGATGTGTTCTTAAGGGACTTGTTTCATTTTAAAAATATTATGAACGTCTTTGATATCATTAACAAGGTTTGCTTGAGCTATGTTTTTAAATATATATCAGTCACATTCACACACACATTCACATTCATTTATCTTTTGCAAAATCTTCTTTTTCAATCCCTCTCTCGTCCCTATCCCTTTCTAACATCCTCAATCAATTCACCCCTTATCTAAAACACTTATATATACAAAGTAATACAAAAAAATATACGTACCTTCTGAAAACCCTTGAAATATCAAACTTACCTGGTTTTTAAGTAATTCCTTATACCTCTGGTCTACTGTCAGACCCCTTTTTGGTCTCATGAGAACGTAAACAGTCTTGATACCAGCACAGCTCCTCAGGAGTTTCTCCAGCAGAGCTTTGCCCACAAATCCAGTTCCTCCGGTGACAAGGATTATAGAGTCTTCATAGAAGTCAGCAATGGCTTCTGATGTCTTGTCAGGCTGCTCCAAGTTCATGTGGTTCTCATAGTTCAAGTTCAGCACGTTCAAATCGTTGCCGTTCATCATTTCTATGTGTTTCCTAAAAAAAAAGGAGGGCGTTATTGGCAATATAATATATATATAGAATAATATATAAAAAATAGAGACCGTAGAGACCCCAACAATCTGGAGAAGCTTGTGGTTGTTGGTCGGGTTAACGGGAAAAGACCTCGTGGTCGCTCACCTACCCGGTGGTTGGATACTGTAAAAAACCTAACCGGCCTGACAGTTCCACAAGCCATAAAGACCGCAGAGGACAGGGGCGTTTGGAGGAGGGTTGTGCATCAAGTGACGCGTGCACCAGACTAGACACGACCTTCAGTAATGAAGAAGACGACTAGGAAAAAAATAAAAAATATAAAGAAACCATGGTTATTTTATAGGGCGAAGTGTTTTTTTTTAGTTTGTAAATTTTCAGAGTGGTATCAGGGGGCTTACTCTTGAATCCAATTTCGATCGATCGACATTGACATTGTGAAATTTCGTACTCTTGAGTCGCAACACTAGCGCCCATTGCACCCGTATTGCGTGGATATTGAATGAACTAAACAGTATTGAGTTTGTCTTTATATTCCGTACTCTGAATGCTACTTTAACAGCTACTATAGGGGTTGTATAGTTTTGACATTGAATAATTATTGAGATTTTATTGGATTGAAATTGCATTGACATTGAGATTGGTTTCAAGAGTAAGCACCCTGGTGTGTGCATACTAGGAGTTTTAAAATTGCAATTTCGTAGTTTATTTAATGAAAATCTCACTTGTACAACGATTCGTGTATAATTTTGTAATATAATAAGAAATCTGTGTATAGAGCACCCTCTCTTTTTGAGGATGGAAAATGCCAATGATAATCAATGACTCCTTTCTCCCTCAGTGAGGCGAGAAGTAGTGTCAAACAAAACAAATACCATCTTGTCTTTGTTTAAACTCTTACTGACTTCACCACGTTCCTTCTCCAGTATAAAGCCGGAGCCACAGTGACCCGCTGAGTCGTAAACAACCCCAGCTGCTTGTGTATAGTATCTACGCTATAGGATTTAAATTGATTAAGTATGTATGTACTTACTGATATTCGTCCATTTTGTCTGTTGACATAAATTTTGAGTCCATTCTGAACAGAAGTCACTTCGAAAATATTATGATCTGTAACAAAAGCAGTTATTCTATCATCATCATCATCATCAGCAGCAGCATTAACTAAAATCGCAGGTTACCGCGACGTCGCCGCGACCGCGCACGCTGCTCATGAGGAAGAACCCCTTTGTGGTTCGAAACTAGTAGAGCTTTTCTTAATATATTCACGTGAGTAACCCGCGATTTTAGTTAATTTAGTATGTCTCGCGATAGTTATTATAAAAACATAATCAGCATTATCAACTTCAGGTGGGAGGTTGTAAATGCGACTACCGAAGTAATGGAAGGGTTCAATCCCTAGATGAGACAATATATTATTAAGTTTTTTTCCTACATTCCACAGAGTCCGGGCAGAAGACACATCAATAGCCTATAAGTGTCCACTGCTGACCATAGACCTCTTCTCACACAGAGAAGGTTTGAACAATAAATAACCACGCTTGCTCAATGCGGGTTGGCGATTTCAAACTTATAATTAGAAATTATAAGCCCAGGTTTCCTCACGATGTTTTCCTTCACCGTTTGTCAGTGGTGTCTAGATAATCTTAGAAAGTACATATAACTAGGAAAAAGTCACATTGGTAGGTATTTGCCTTTGGTAGGTTTCGAACCTGCAACCTTATGCATGAGAAGCGGGCGTTAAAATTCCAAGCTACCACGACCGGGCAGCAACGCTCTCTGATAAACCTGAACCTTTTATACTGCGATCTCCAACTTGCCTGTCTGCGGAGATTATGACAAACCCCTCTTATGTAGAGGAGGCTCATAGTCCAGTGGACTGTCACCCACTGTCGAATGTTAATTACGAACCACTTTTACTTAAATCAGAATCGAACCGCCTATCGTCACGTGTTCAACCACGCGGGCTTGTTTCGAAAATTCTTATGTAAAAAAAAAAGCAACTAAAAATGCGTTGCTTCACATTCTATTGAGGTTTCGAGGACTTATTAACATAGTATTTCACGCGGTTACCATCGCTTTATTGACAGTATTTATTAAAGTTAAGCAAGTCTTTAACTATCGCTGTTGCTGCAACATCGCACCTTTTTATTGGTTAGAGAGGTAAGCAGAGACATTCAAATGCTATAGACAATTTTCATCTTAGTACGAGTTTCTTTTTCTTTTATAGTAATCGAAATGGGGTCGCGTTCGACACTCTGATTGCTTAGTTATTGGAGCCGGCCAATCAGCACCGAACGTGTAGGTACTCGTGTTTAAGTGTGGGAAAGCCATGCTTCGGCACAATGGTCGCGGAGTGATACCACGGCCGAGCAGAAAACCGACATGAAACAACGCTTGCGTTGTGTTTGGCTCTGAAGTTACTGGAGGTTCAATTACCCATCCCTCATCTCCAATCTTCCCAATCCGAAACTGTACTCAAATTCCTAATCCCCAAAAGGCCAGTAACGCACTTGTAACACCCCTGGTGTTTCAGGCGTCCATGAGCGGCGCCGATTCCTTACCATCGGGTGATCCGTCAATGTCTTTACAGGCTCATTCCATAAAAAAATCTCCAACTAAGCCCTTAGATTCTGTTCAGTCTCATGGAATGGCGAATAAGCGAAGCACCGAATTATTTACCCTCATTCAAAATTGTAGTCTTTTGAGAACGGATTGGAAAAATATGAAGTGTGCAAAATTGACTGCCTCGTTAGCCGAGTATTGATTCCCGGGTCAGGCAAAGAATTACTAGGTTTTTTTAAAAAAAATCTTAGTAGTAGCATGGGGTTTGCAATTGTGAGTCCCATGTTGTGCGTATGCATAACATATATAGTGAAAACACTCACTTTTCACCAATTATGTTATCATATGAGTCCCATGTTATAGGGGGTGAGTTAAATAGGAGTCACTATAATTTTGAAAAATATTTTTGATAGGTATAGATGGCGTTCGTAGAGATAAAGTTTAAAGTAAATTTATGCTTTTGTAATAAGGCTTGCTTAATACTAAATAGTTTACGCAAAACTGGACCTCACACTATGACTATATAATATAATTTCGCAATCATAATAATCTTGCTCGACTTGGGTAACGAACCCAAGAACTTACGCACTGCACGCATAATTGTTAATTATGTAATTTAATAACACACTTTAAAATGCGAGAAATACATTATTATATGATTGATGATGATTTTAAAAAACTAACTAGGTATATGGCAGATATTAATTTAAATAAGAATAAAAATCAATACATAATTCAATAAAAATAATAAACAAAAAAAAACAAACCATTAATGAAGCACACACAACTAAAAATAACAATAAAAAATCAATCACCGAAAAATAAAACTAACAACGAATTTCACACACACACATATCTAAAAATAAAAATAACAATAACAATAAAAAAAATACTCACCAAAAATAAATTGAAGCGCCGACGTCCAAGAAATGGAACTCGAAAATTATTTTTTATTATTTTTTTTTGTCCGCTATATCATTTTTATTTTTTTTAGTTATGTACCGACGGAGCAGAATACTGCCTCGCGCTGCGGGTCGGCTTTCACTGGCTATAGACTCACGTAATATCAGTTGTAACATGTTGAGTACATACGGATATGTTTTGTGAGCGGCTGCGGTTTATTTTCGATTTTATTTTAAGTATTGTAGGTATTGTATTGTATGGGGTATTCGTTTATTTTAAATTGAAATAGTAAAGGGGTGATTTATGTTGAGGAAAGTTTTTCAGTTGACGATTATATATGATATGTATTTATGGTGTGTTTGTCATAATTATATTTATTTATTAATTGTATCATTTTTAATTTTTTTTTAGTTTTAAATATTATTTTTTTATTTTAATTTTGCCTTTTTTGTGTAACACACTGTGTCTCGATGCCGTTATTTGTTTTCCTGCCAAAGGCCCACAGGCAGGTCCAGTTGGAATATGTGGAACCTACGTACTTCGTTTTTATATATGTGTTCTCTTTTGTGTTGTAAGCGTATACAATAATAAATTAATAAATAAATTATCATCATAAAAACAAACAGCCTTATACTGCTTCATTAATTATCCAATGCCTACTTCTCGTGCTAAATACATAAATAATTTTCTACTTCTTTGGTGTAATATTTGAAAGAAAGAAAGAAAGAAAAAACATTTATTTGACAATTACACGCACAGAAAACAAAGAATATAAAAAAATAAAAATACATAATATAAGTAAACAAAATACTAATAATAAACTTACAAGAATACAGATCAGAACAGAAAACATCACAATATAACAAAATAATAATACGATAATAATATAATTTTTAATAGACAATAAAAAAAAGCAATTTATTAATAATAATATTTCTACTACAATATTTATGATATGTAAGTAACTATGTCCATATTATTATTATCTTATACTTGTTAACTCCGGAACTGCTGGTCCGATATGAATAATAATTATTTTTGTGTTCGATCAGGGCTGTGCAAATGAAGGCCCGCGTGCCGCATGCAGCGGTGTTAGGGAGTGGGTATATACCTATGGGTATGTGAGTAGAGTTCCCTAAGATCGGAAATGGAGGATCCTCCGACCAGGCGAGGTGTTCGTGGCTGGCGTGGCTTTCTGCCCAATAGTTGTTCGTTGGGCAGAAAGCGCGCTTTTGCCATACCTGTTATTGGAAGCAAGTATAACAGCTCACACATAGGACCCACTTAGTTTTTAGTCAAATTTCCGTGGTACTTGGCGACTGGGCTTCACCCAGTTGTACAGTCTCTTGTAGCCTTTAGGCTTAATTCATTCTGTGTCCTGGAGTAATTCACCGAGGGAAGTGGAAACTATCGTTTTTTTCTTCTCCTCTTATAATATCTTCTGATTCACTTCGTTTCTGGAACCAAGACAGTTACTCATGTCCCTGGGACGCGCCGGTCTTCAGTGTTCCGGTGTTTTCATGGTTGTATCTCCTGTAGATCCTGGCTTACAGGAGTTGCAGTGGTTTTGGGAGGTTGTGACGGGCTTATCCTATTAACATGTTAAACGCCATGGCAGTCACCGGTAACCGACATTAGCGGAGGATTTGCCTTCAACAGTTTTTTATTGGCAGTTAAAGCCTTAAAAAAAGTTGTTCGTTGGGATTTTCTATCCGTATTGATTCGCATGTGTGATGTAGGATTTTTGTGACGTCAGTCCGTTGAATTATTTTCATCGATAGTCTATGTGTGTGAGCCATCATTTAAAATGTGTCAAACCATCACACTGCGATCTAGTGAAACCGCGTGAGACTACTAAGCTAGTTTATTATACATATAACCCTCAAACTAAACTCGTTAATATTTTTTTTTCTATCAATTAACTCTGATTCGAGTACCGTCATTATAGACACAGTTATAGAACAATAGGTTGCGCTCACCGGTGTCCTCGCGGTGTTTGACAGTTTAATAATTAAACTAATGTAATATTATTCAAACGTAGCTGAGATACACCGTTAGTAACTTAAGGAAAAACGCAGCAACATCGCCGCTCAAACTGCTCGACCGTATATTTTCAAATTACGCGTATCTTGCGTTCTTGCCCATTCATTAAGACGCATAGGGCTATTTACAATTTGGACATAACCTTACGTCATTATATATATCCGGTTTTGTGGACATAAGTAGCCCACTGCTGGGCATAACCTGGTTTCGTAGAAAATTGGTTTCGATGTGATTTGGTATTTTAAATTTTTAATCGATGCGTGTTTAATGGTGCGTTAAAAATACTGCCTCGTTGGCCGAGTGGTCGCGAGTCCGACTGCCGGGCAAGGGGTCTCGGGTTCGATTCCCGAGTCGGGCAAAGTATTACTGGGTTTTAAAAAAAATCTCAGTAGTAGCACTTAGTCTGGAATTGTGCCCGGTAATAGGCTCACCCACTATTACATGGGACTCATAACATAAATAGTGAAAAGTGGGTGTTACTTCTGTGTGCACCTCTGCCTACCCCTTCGGGGATAAAAGGCGTGATGTTATGTTATGTTATGTAATTAAAATATGTAGCTATAAAAATAATGACAATGCGTCGTTTGTCGAGTGGATTTGATTCCCAAGTTACACGAAGTATTTTGTAACAAAAATGTAAGTAATAGTACGAAGTCTACTATTACGTACGGTGTACACTACAGCGTTTGGCAGGAATGCTCAACTATAGGGTCTTTCAACAAGGACGGGTCGATGTTAAAATTGAATTAAACAAGATGTGTGTAAGATATTAACCAACTTTATTGTTTATTTGAAAGGTCCATTTATGCCATTATGGATGGAATATGACATCGTTTAAATGTCCGCTGCGGCTTCGTATGGCGGCACGAATCTGAGAGGTGAATTTTCAAAGACTCTGCTGCATAGATCCGGCTGAATCTGAGCGATGGCCTGCGTTATGTTGGCTTTCAGGGCAACGGTGGAATGTGGTTTATTGGCATAGACTTGCAACTTCAGAAAACCCCAAAAGAAAAAGTCTAGCGGAGTCAAATCACACGATCTTGGTGGCCAATTCACGTCACCTCTGTGAGAGAAAACCCTACCTTCAAACCGTTCATGCAGGATGTCGATTGTGTCGTTCGCTGTGTGGCAAGTAGCGCAATCTTGTTGAAACCACATGTCGTTCACGTCCATATTGTTAAATTTAAGCCAAAAAAACTGTTTATCATTGATCTGTAGCGCTCACCTAGACTTTGAAGGACTACCGCGTCTGCCGTAAAATGGGCGCAATGCTCGCAACGTTTGCAATAAAGTTAATAATAAAATTTGATAATAAAGTTTTATCATTTGCACATGCTGCTCAACCGTGTAACTTGCCATGGTGATTTGGCATCAGCCGCTGAATAAGAAAAATCTGATATGACAGATGCCGCCAAAAAAAAATGGCCACCACAGATTATTAACATCGACCCGTTCTATTTGAAAGACCCTTTATATGCTGAGATGGAGGCCCTTTTGGCATGGGCATGTGCACTATTATATTAGGTACTATTTTATTATTTACATTTTGTTATTTTTGTATATTTAATTTTTCTTATTAGATATCAAAAACGTGTTGCATGTGTCGCGGAGAACCTAACAGGTAACCGGGGCTCCGACTCGACGTGCAGGAGAAGGAACGGGGTGGTTTTTAGTCAGTAAGAGTCTGACACTCCCTCCCGCCTCACCCAGGCGGGAGCAGTCATTCGTTGATTTTCCCCGCTTAAAAAAAAAAATCCGATATAAAAAGAATTATTCTAATAAGTCCAGTCGTATCCGAAATTAACACGTCCAAACAAACAGGGGTGGGTAATTGGGCTCCCGGTAACCTCATACACCTCCACCGCCACCTCCCCGAAACACCAGTGGCATTACAAGTGCGTTACCGGCCTTTTGGGGATGAGGAACTTGAGGATTGTTCGGGATTCAAGGATTGGGGAGGGGGGTAATTGGGCCTCCAGTAACCTCACTCGTACGACGAAACACAACGCAAGCGTTGTTTCACGACGGTTTTCTGCTAGGGCGTGGTATCACTCCGGTCGAGCCGGCCCATTCGTGCCGAAGCATAGCCCGGAACACTTAAACAGTCGACACCTGTAACACCAAAGAAATAACAGGAGCATTCCTGGGCTTTAAAAAAATAGAATCATCAAAATCCGTCCACAACCGCCGGAGTAATCGCGTGACATACACACATACAGGCGAATTGATAACCTCCTCCTTTTTGGGAAGTCGGTTAAAAATAACGAATGCTGTTATCTTGTAGGTTTGGTAGAATTTTGACCTGGACTCCTTGTAAAATACCTATGTCAAAATTCTAATATATTGGAACTGGAAACAGTCGATAATATTATAGACTGTAGAGGAAAAATAACAAAATATTACACCAAAAAAACTAGATTTACCAACAACAAATTCATCCAATCGCAATTTTTTTTACGGCATAAGCCGGTATACGAGCTTACGGATCACCTGATGGTAAGCAATCAGCGCCGCCCATGGACACCTGGAACACCAGAGGCGTTACAAGTGTGTCACCAGCTTTTTGGGGATTAGGAGTTTGAGGATCGTTGGGGATTCAGGGATTGGGGAGATTGGGGAAGGGGAAGGTAATTGGGCCTCCGGTAACCTCACTCACACGACGAAACACAACGCAAGCGTTGCTTTACGTCGGTTTTCTGTGAGGCCGTGGTATCACTCCGGTCGAGCCGGCCCATTCGTGCCGAAGCATGGCTCTCCTACTACATCGATGAATGAATTTGACCTTTTGACAGCTAATTGACCAATCACCAACGAGTTAGCTTTCAAAACTGGAACAATACGTTTACAAAGAAAGAAATGCTACGTTCTGTTTAGTATATATGTAATAGAAAACAGGTTCGTATTAACAAACAAGGGTAATCAAGCGTGACTTTGTTTCATACTGAGATACCAGTTTTAACCTGCAACACATGAATACTCAAAATCCTATATTTCTCTCAATTCCTTAAGAATTAAGGCTCACCCCCCTATTACATGGGACTCATAACATAAATAGTGAAAAATGGATGTTACATTGTACAGTAGC